TCCACAATCACAAGTGTTGTTTTTGTATCTTTGAATAGAATGTTAGTGTGTTGTCTTGTTTTGTGGCTGCCACAATCCTTGACAAGAACTGTTATATAAATCTTTGTTCAGGCAAAATGATTCTGCATGAATAGTATGCAAATTAGCCTGGCCCCAACACTTTTAGTGTACTAGCCATTGTGTTTCTCTCTTTGCTATTATAATAATTACTAGGGATGCATTTTCCATATGCTGGGTAAGGAAGTCTTCCTTTCTGTACTGCTTCAGTGGAACTTCAGCTGTAGTGGCCAGTTCAGATGAGGTAAAAAATTAAATTGGATACGTGAATGGTAAGCTGTTTACTAGAATCTCTACCCATCTAAAATATCCCTATATGATGTCAGGAAAAAAAACTCCAACAGAATGTTTTTGCAGACTTGTAAATGGTTTTTTTGTTCTCTAATATGGTCAGAGTTGATTTTAAAGGTTTTATGCTAGGAAGCATCAAAACCCATCGTGGCTACATAGCATTTGGTACTGCTTACTCTAGATTGAACAACTTTGATTAGAATTTGAGCTCATTCAGTTGCTTGGACTAGGAAGAAGTCTTCTATTGTCTCTTGAACATATTACAATAATTTAATTAGGTTCAAATCCTGATTTCCTGGTACATCCTCTAAGTCAAACTTACCCAAACATAACCAAAATGGCTGTGATAATTACCAAGTTTTACCATGACAGACACCAAGAACGGGGAGGTCCTGCCCTGGAAGAGTGCATCAAACCTGTTGTCCACCTCTCTCACATTACTATTTTCCAGCCACCACTGCCCCCATCTTGAAAGTCACAAACTGCAGCACGTCAAGGTGCTAATGCTCAATAGACAGCAAATATCACATCAGTCCCGGTGTGCTTAGTCCTTCTCCAGAATGCAACACATAGTGCTCCTTATGTTTAATATATATAGAGAGAGCAATATTTATAATGTATCCCAGTAGAAATGTTTGTTGTACCTCACGGAGTCATAATAGGTAAATATTTATGAATTTGTGTATAGTAAACACCTAATTCTGTTTTTCAGTGCCTTTCAAGCTTCAAGAAGGAGAGGTTCGCATAATTTCCTTAGAACAATGCCAGTCATATTTTGACATGAAAATCATCACCAGCAGGATGCTGTGTGCTGGCTATGAATCTGGCACCGTGGACTCTTGCATGGTAGGCTTCTCTGTAAGGAGAAACAGAAAGTTTCCAGAAACAAAATGGCTTTTAGAAATCAAAATACTGTGATGGTAATTAGGTGTAGCATACTTTATCTATTCTAGGAATAACAGCTGTCTATTTACATACTTTAAACCAACTTTTATTGTTACTGTAATTTTTAACATTGGTGGAAAGAACTTATCTTCATGCTAGTAAAATGCTGCTTGAAGACTCTAGGATTTATCTGTATTAGTTAAATTTTTTATTTGTATGAGCCTTTTGCAGGTTTTTTTCGTACAAATGTAATGGGTAATAAACACTGGTAATGCTGCGTGTAGCTACACAGTTCAGCAGATTTTTACAGCTGAGTTATTTGCTAAAGGCAAATGGCTGTAGGAAATGTGATATAGCTTTAATGATGAGTGCTGGCCACGTGTATAATAGACTGTTTTTAACTTTCCTGTTGCAGGGTGACAGTGGAGGACCTCTTGTGTGTGAGCATACTGCCGGACGCTGGACTTTGTTTGGTTTAACATCTTGGGGCTCTGTCTGCTTTTCCAAGGTTTTGGGACCTGGAGTATACAGTAATGTGTCACATTTTATTGAGTGGATTGAAAGACAAATATACATCCACACCTTTCTGCTAAACTAACTCCATATGGTAAAATTGTGCTGACAGACAAAAGAAAAAAAGGAATCAGCCCTTCAATACTGAAGGTTTTGCAGTCCAGAAACTCTGTGAAAAGGAGTTTCAAGCTCTATCTATTCTTGTTGTGGAGCTATGGAATATGCAGTGTGTGTTACTGGTAAATCCTCTGCTCATGAATATACTTTGTGGTAGAATTAATAATCCTTTTGACTTTTCTTTTAACTGTGTTGTGGTGCTATTCTAAACACTGCAAAAAGCTTAAAAGAAAAGGATCAACCACTTTCTGCCTTTCAGCTATTAAAACTAAGCAGTAGCACAGACTAGAAAAACTTTCTTAAATAACCTATTTTAATACTATTCAATTAGTAGCACATGCATTTTCACTCACTTCTTGTGATGAGGAAGGAACTTTGTGCATTCATGTGGCACTGCAGGACATACATTCACAAGGACAACTCTCAACAGGGCCATACCACATGCTGGAGGGTGTGGAAGAGATTGATGGGTTTGTACATCCATGTGGCACAGGACACATCAAAGCACATGTGCAAGTCTCCAAAGGTGTGTAGCCGTATGCTCCTGGCGTGCCTGAGCTAGTGCATTTTGTCCCTCAGGGTGGTTAATTTGCATGGGCATAACTCTGTACTGTCCTGATTCCACAGCTTCTGTTCCCAGAGCAAGACTGGGCATCTCTGGAGTGCTGGAGAAACCAGTAGGCCAACAGACCCATAACTACCAGTAGAGGCACTAGAGACCAAAACTTTATTGTTCAGACTCTGGACGGCTCTAGCACTTAATCTTCTGAAGCTTCCAATGTCCTAATGTGTCCAGGAAACATCCATGTCTCAGCAGCACCACACTGAAGAGTGCATTTATCAAACCTGTGCCCCACTGGCTTTCCTCCTCACATTGTATAATGTGTTCAGCATACAAAGCATTCACTGACCATCTCCAGCCCTCTTAAAACTTAAGAGGGTTGGCAATACCACTGCAATGGTTTCCCCTCCTAGAGTCAACTAGTTTGGACAGACATGGAAAATGACATGAAAATGCAGATTTAAATCTGAAAATGCAGATTTAAAATGCAAAAGATGCAGTGTGGGCACCGTCCCAAATACTGGGGAACTGGTTAATTTTTATAGGTCTCTTCTTGTACCCTGCATTTAAAGTTTAATTTTGACTAGCAAGATAAAACATTTTGGAAAAGGAAAAAAGCAGAAAGAAAATAAGTTATAGAAGGCTTGGGATTCCAGCTTCTGTTCAAGTGAGTATTAGAAATACCAGAAGCAAAGTATGACAGCTTCACCAGCAAAAGCTTGAGAAGCCCAGCTCAAGTGCTTGGTAGCTAGATGTGGATTGCTCTGTGCAGTAGTAAGACAGTAAGCCTTAACTCCACTTAACTCCAAGAGGATTTGGTTGGAAAAGATTATGATGGAGCTTGGCACCTTTTTATGGTGCTAGAGGGAAAGTGTGTCCTATCAACTGCTGTAAATGATGTCCTGCACAGCTGTCAGCTTTCAGGAGGCCAGAATAGGACAAGTCAGGAATCTGAGGATTACAGGACAAATTCCACTGGGGAACGGTGCATTTAAAATTTGTGTTTCCAGTGCTGTGCTTAGTCCCCTGTGAATCCAGCCTAAGGCACATAATAATCCTCCTTGCTACCTCTGGCACGGCCCCATGACAGCACGGCAGGGCCTTGTCAATAGCACGACTGCCACATGTGAAAACATGCATTAAAGAGACCTAACACATGGGCATTTCAGGTACTATGAATCATGTTGCAACTCCTCTCCATAGATCTATTGCTTTCATGAAGGTTTATCTCTCACCCCTCCATATCTTCTCCTTAAACATTGCTAACATTAGAACATTAGTCACACTAGACTGCACTGTACACGTGAATATTAATAAATACTCAATATTTATGTTATGGATTCTGAAACTATTTAAGTGATTATTCAGTCACTGTTTCATGCTCAGAAGGAAAACTCTTCAAGGCTTTGCTAGGTTTGATTGTTGTTTTGGTTTTTTTTTTACTTTTAGTATCTTAAGGAGGTAACACTTAAAATACTCTTCTTGCCCCAGCTATAAATGAGAGAAAGCAGCTGTGACTGTGTTTATCTAGTGCAAGTAGATTACAGCTGAAGCAGGTTATTGATGTCCTTGCCTCAAGGATATGGAGGCTGGAGCTCTCAGTCCTCCTTCAGCTTTCCTCTGGGGCTGGGACGTCTGTGGCTGTAGGGCAGAAAAGCTCTGAGTCCTGGAGCTGGTTCAAGAGTTCCCTGAGGAGAAGGTGGCCCAGTGGTTGTTAGAGCCAGCTGGCTGGACTCAGGTTCTGGCCAGGTCTGTTTTCCAAAGAGGTGCTGCTGCAGAATGAGCACCCCAGCCTGGCTTCTCTCCACCAGATATGGTTGGTGGTTAGCTGCTTTGAATTTGGTAAAGCGCCAGGAGTTCATAAAATCATTCATGTAGATATTAGCATTACCAAATGATAACATGTAACTACACATCTTAATTACCTGGATTTGACCTACCACCAGCTTCCAAGCAGTCCCTCCCAGGAAATGAGGCAGAGTCCTGCTTAAACACAAGGTCCAGGCCCATTCTATATGGGACGTCTGAAGAAATCCCAGTCTGAACCCCATCCCAGATGGCTCTAGGAGGGAGCACTTGGGTCTTATCCTTTCCCACAACTGTGTCTGACACAACATTCCATGTAAAGAGGAAATTTGTAATTTTACAGATGTATTTTTATACAGGGTTTTTTATGTGTGCACATGAAATAGGCAAACATGCTCCTCCTTCCACTGCATCAAGCCTTTTCCTGTGTGCTGACACAATGGCTATGATCACAGTTATGCTGTTTGTCTCACAGGTGTAGCCTCATTGTAAGGTAACATTTGTTGGCTTTGCTTCTACCACAGCTGTATCTCCAAATGGAAGCAATGCCACTCAGTCAAGCCAATGTGTTTCTTTCTAGTTGTACTAATAAAAATTTACAATCATTTTCCAAATAACTTCTGTTGAAAATGTGTTTTAATCTTTGGAGAGACTAAACGATAATATGGAGGTAACAAGTTATAACTTTAGCAATAATGCCTAAAAATAGCCTTCAAAAGGCATTTTTGAATCATTAGCTGACTTTTTTTAGCAACCCTGTTAGTACTGCAATACTTGTGGAGATTCTGGCACTACTACTACTGTACAACTTTTAGTTTTTTCTGTGTGTATGCTTCCAATACAGAATACTACTATGAATACTGCTGCCATCAACTACTCTGAGCTTAGAAATCAAAAACTAAAGCTGCAATCAAATCTGCAATCTGAACACATTTTGTTCTACAATTTTGCTCTGGAATGCAATTAGTTTTAAATCAAAAAATCTCTTATAAGTTGTACACAGAGTTTTAACAACATGTACACATGCTGAAATCAAAATAATAAGCAGACAGAAGCTTAAAACAGCTAAAATTTACCTTTCCACTGCAATAAGGAAGCCAGGAGCATGAGGGCAAAGTAGCATAATCAGAATAAAACAGGAACAAATAATAAAAAGTTGCCCATTAGCCTTGGCCAAGAGCCAGGGCCAGTGGGAGAAGTGGGTTCTCTGCTTTAGCTCGTCCTCAGGCAGTCCTCAGCCTTGTGCTGCGGCCAGTGGGGCTGTGGAAAAAACAGCTTGGGCTAAACATCAGCTCAAACTGTGCCCCAGGTACACACCAAAGCTCACTGTGCTGCCAAAATACTCAGCAAAGGCTGTGGTTGACTGCCACCTGCAAATGTTTAGCACAGGTGTGGTTGCTGTGAAAGAAAAAAATTTAAAACGTCCTTTCTTCTGTAAATCAAACACTGAATATCAAAATCAGAGTTAAGACTGTTATAGATGTAGCTGCAAAGTCTGGGGCAGCTGAAGGTGGTTGTTTTGGTTTGTTTTAAAATCAAAGAAGTGTAAATGCTGTGCTTCCTTTCATGACATGTGGAAGGGACCTGTGAGATGCTCTTAAAAAGCTTATTTTCAAAATGGAAAAGTCAGATCATGCTGTGCCTAAGTGCAGAAGCAAGCAGGTGACTATGACGTTTTCAGTGCTAAAAAAAATAATAAAGGCAACATTGAAGTTCTGGAAAGCACAGGGAGTTTCCACCCTTCATTTGGCACTACTTGAGTTATGGCCAATTAATATTTTAAAGCTTTCATTAAAGATTCACGACCCTCATTTCCTCTTCAGTAAAAGACAGCAAGTAATCACAGCAAATGCCCTCAGCTATTTCTGCTGTTTGTCCACCACAAAAAAAAAACCCCAACAAACCCAACCTCAAAACCAAAAAGACTAACAATCAAGCAAAAAAAAAAAAAAACCCTAACCCCCAAAACAAGCTTTACCCAACAGATAATTATGTTATGACCCAGACTACTTGTTGAAATCCTCTAATAAAACACAGACTGCAGAGGAGTTTTAAGTAATACGGACTACCAATATGCAACACACACACACACATATACATGTTATTTTTCACTATTTCATGTGGTACAAAAGCACTTACAATCTCAGCAGAGAGGAACGGTGTCCTGAAAGCCTTACTGCACTAAGCTGTTAGTAATGGAGTCCTGAGACTTGTAAAGAGTCACATAATAGCAATTTAAATGTCCCAGAGGCATCATGGTCTCAGGTCCTACAGATGACTCCCATTCATGTTTCTTCATGTAGTTATTTTGATGCCATGGCTTAGTCAGAAGGCTTTGGAAGATCTTACTCTGAATACGTGCACCTTTTGTATGGAAAAAAAATGCAAACTCCTGACACTAAATGATCATCTACCTGTCAAATCTGCTGGTAGGTTCTGCTTCTGCAACAGAGGTAACAAGAGGGCAGGTCACAGGCTGGTGTTGTCCCCAGACTCTTTTTAACAGAGACAAAGGGGACGGAGCTGAGGCTTGCATTCCCTCAGGTCATTGGAAGTGCTGGAGCTCCCCCATCAAAGTTCAACATACCTCAGTCATAGAGTTAGAGACTTGTAAAGCATGGACCAATCTCCTCTCAGTGGCTACAAGTGCAGAGAGGCTGTGGATTTCAAGTGCAGTAGAAACATTCAGGTCAGCTAATGTAAACAAAACCAATATTTGACTTTAAGGGCAGGAAAGTACTGCCTGTTTCTCTGTAGCTCTTTACAGCAGGATAACATCCACTAGGAAGGACAAGGTGGAGCTGAGCCTGCCTTGGGGCTGTGGAGCAGAGTAGATGATTTCACTTCATCCCAGGAACTCTCTTCCTGTATGATTCTGCCCCAGTACCAGCCTGTCTCCCTGCACAACCTGCTGACTGTTTTGAAACCTTGCAGCTCCCATTTCTTGTCCAGTAAGCTGAGATGTTTCACTTGGGAAACCTGGAATACATTCATTGCAAGGTGCCCCACCCCAGCACAGCAAGAAGGATGTTTCAGATAAACATCTGAAAAAGTAACTCAAACCAACAAGATCTCTTGCAATTTGAATGTCTGCCTTCACTTCAAAGGCCTCCACTAACTTTATGTTAGAACATACCAAAAACATTTTGTCATATGTTGAACTGAACTTAAAAAAAAAAATAATTCAGAAATGGCTGTCATCACTTTCTCCTTCCACTAGGTTTTCTTCTACAGGCTAAGCAAAAAGTAGATTTTCTCTTTCTCTCCTCACTAGCACTAGGGATAGAGTCAGCCCTAATTACATTCTACCTTTTGAACACAGAACTGTTTTAAACATTTGGTAACATGTGGTGACTGGCATTTGAATGAACTCAGCATGCCCTCAATATCTGCCCTGTATAGCAGCAGCTGTCCAGACCTCACAGAGTTTGTTTAAATTCTTTCAGAGATCTTAAAAGATGTGGAATATGTAATGTTGATCATTGATATGAAAAGCTCATGGTTCAATTAGAAAGCAGAGGCCTTGTCCAAAACATGGTGCCTGAAAATAAACACACAAATCTTGGCAATTTGAAAGCAGAAACTTTAAGAAAGTAACAGAACCAAAAAATGGGCTCAGCACTAATAATTCATTAGCAGCTACAGTTTGAGGCAAGTGTTTATTTCAACAGGTGCTAGTGAATACAAACAGATTTCCTAAGCTCCTCTCTAAATTGTCCATGTAGCTTTTTGGGAAGGGAAGTAAAAAGGAGGCAATATTTTAAAGAGTCTGGAATCTAGAAGTTGCCACATGCACCTCAGCCACTTTTTGTACGGTGTGTGAGCAGTGGGAAAGTGGCAGAGGGCAGGACTCATCTGTCTTGGAAACAGATGAGCAACAGCAGTCAAATGTGAGACATGCAATGCATGATGCCTTCTTTTGAGCAGCCTTTACAGACACTTAAGTTGATTATTATAAAAGCCTGGAGGAATTTAAAAGCACCTGAGAGTGAAGAAGAGTGATGTTACCAGCTAAAAGCTGCGACTTGTAAGGGAAGACCTGAAGACAGACTGGAGCTCCTCACTGCTGCTGGCAGACAATTTTGCAGTAGAGGCATGAGGTAGTTTAGAGAAAAGACAGCCAGCTAGCATCTGAGTTGGGTGAGGTGGGAAATCAGTTCATCTTGGTGGCAGACAACATGAAATGGCACATGAAGTCAAAATGGAGTGATACATCAGGAGGATGAACTGTCATGGAAAACAAAAGGCTGCACTTAGGATTTGCTCTTTATGTGAAGAAGAAGGCAAGGGAGACATGTTACATGTGTCTCATTTGGGTTTTCTTATGGTTAAAATGGTGTTTGTTCAGCAGTGAGATGGCCTATGCAGTAGCCTGGTGAACAAACTGGACCACAGTGGTTATATAAATTACTGTCTACATACACTACAACATGTAATAAAAAATCTTGAAACAAGCCAACCAGTAACACCACATCCCAGCCCTGTTGCTTACTTCATACTTCAGCAAATTATGAATCCCAGGGCACACTAGGGTTCTAGGGCAGCAGTGTAAGGGAGCAGGCTGACTTACCTGAACTGGATTCTGCAAATCCACATTCATGCAATGTACTGTCCATAACACCAGGAGGTGTTATGCAATGTTGCATACAAGAAATAAGCAGTATGCAAAGTCTACTCTGTGAAGAAATATAAAAAAATCATCCAGACATTTAGACCTTCAACATCTTAATAAATTATGGGAAAGTCTTATAAACAAAAAAGCTTTTAAGGAAATGTGTTCATCATCTACCTTGGCTGAAGAAAACAAAACCACAGCATGGCATGAATCAGCAGTTATTACTCCTGCATTTAACCAGCTAGCATGCCAACTTTGTAAAATACAGTAAAGCATCTTCTTCACACAAAACAGAACTCAAAACTGCTCTGTGTGCTAGAGATATAGTGCTGCTGCCCTTTTTATAAGCACATAGAGTCTTTGGCACATGAACTATTATCACTAAATGTAAATGTGTTAGTTTCCTTTGATAAATTCAGTCTTTTCAGAGTTCAAGCCACTTGTACTCCCAGACTCATCCTGAATGTCTGGTAAGAAGGAGGTGTTCTTTACTAACCCATCTCTTGAACAGGTCTGAAGAGGTGTTTTAGATGCTGGCAAAACACTGTCAGTGCTTTTTTCCACTGACACAGCACCTGCAGCTGAGCTGGAAGGCACAGAAGTAGGTTGGAGGTCCACCCTATAATTCACATTGCACTCATCTTTCCATCTCTTGATTTCTTTCCCCTGCTCCTCGGGGGACAGTCTGACAAGGTACTTGGCTCTCAACACCGGAGATGGAAACAGTGTTCCTTGGAGAACTCTTATCAAATATCTACAAAATAAACACAGTTACAAATAAGCTGTTTGAAAGAAACTCCAAAACTGTTTGCAATGACCAAAGGAAACCAAAGACCATTTAAATAACCCTGAAGCCTAGTTCTTGGACTAGAACTAGATCACATTTAAGGTCTCTTCCAACCCAGCCCATTCTATAATTCTATAATACATTAGAACTGACTTAACTGGCAATTTAGGTTGGATTTAATCAGAGATTTTTACAGTGAATTTTCAGGCAACAGGGCATCCAACGTTTGTCCCTCTGTAAGAGAACTTCTCCTTTAAACCTCCACTGAAAGCCCCAGTCTCATGATAGAAGCTGCAGAGGACCCCCTGGCTTCACAATGCCCCTGAGTGGGGGCTTTTCAGCACCATACAAAGGATCATATCAGAAATAAACATGGGAAAAAACATACATGTGACAGCAGTAGTCCCATAATAGGTACTCTGCTTCAAATCACTGCAGAAGAAAAGCTGAAATTAGCCACAACAGCTAAAAAAATAAATGTTCTGAGGTATTGACACAGGGAGAGTATTTACGACTTAAGGAACTTCTAAATAGTTTGCCTTTAATTCACCATGAAAACCACTGTCATCTTCAAAATTCAACTGCTACACACTGGAAGTAGCCACCAAGCTCCTTTATCCTACCTTGGCTCTCTACAGCCCTACCAAAAGGTCCCAGAACAGAATTAATTTGTCATGTAGGGGAGATTTACTGTGTGTGAAAGAAAAGGCTCTACTGTCACCACCTGAACCAAGCTGTGAGCAGGGACAGAAAGCTGTGTTTCTTGTGCAAGTGTGAACCAAAGCCATCAGCCAGATCAGATGAGTCAGAATCCCAGTGAGTGCAGTAAAACTTGATGACATGCTTAAGACACAGATAAGACATGTTCAAACAGGACTTAATACTTGGTGGCCATTGCAGGCATCTACAGGCATGGCTCTACCAGCTTTCCTGCTGGCAGGACTGATAACTTATGCAGCCTGTACTACAGCACTTGATCCAGAAAGTGTGTTCAGATTGTGTCTAATGATATTAAATTACATCAGGTGAGCAGGAAACAGCACTTATGCTCCTCAACTCTTCTCAGTATCTGTCTGTGCAATTCAATTTCAAGTCTCATTCTTTCTGAAATGATATAAGAGGGAAAGAACGAGACACAACACAAAAATGAGTAATTAGCACTGGAGGCACTTCACTAGTAGGCTACACACTTGAGTTCATGCTCAGGCAGTGAAATGAAGACAGCTGTGGCTACTAAAGAAAGCTAAACAGAAGGTTTGATGAAGTCTCTTTCACTGGTTTTCAAATGGTTTGGTTTGTTCTGTTGGCTCTGCTCAGCATGCTGGAGTCTTCCACTTCCATCCAACACTACTGCCCTTCCAGGGTGAATGAATTATTAAACTTGAACTTCAGCGAGACAAAAAAAAAAATAAATATCCAGACCCTTGTGAATCTAGTCAGCATGTTTCCATCCCCCAAAGAAGCCTGTACATGCATTCTTCACTCTAAATACTCTTGTACATATTCATGACATAAATTTCAAGCAGAAAATAATTTCACAAACTAACACAGAGTAAGCACAGTATTTCTTTGTCTATATATAGTATATGTCCAACTTTGGTCACTACCTTAACTGATTTGTATATAAATTATGAACTCTGTGATTACAAAAATTACTGGTTCTTTGCCCTCCAAAGACAATATTTAATATTATATAAGTCACAAAAGAAAATTTTTATTACTGAAATTTACTTGGAGAACTAAATGCCACTAAAAAGTTATCCTCACATAGCTTGGTCTAACAGAGTCATGAAATTTTCATTTTTCTTGGGGTATGCTAGGGAGGAAAGACCTATCCCGAGTTTCATAACATCACTGACTCACAGAAAATGAATTTTGGTAGCAGCAGAAATCTACAATTATAAAACAGAAACTCACCTGGGTAGCAGAGCAATGCAAGTAGTCAGGAGGCAAACTAAGTAAAATACTGGGTCTGCTATGTGCTTTTCCATGGTCCAGTAAAAATCTGGTCGTGGGCTGTGGGTTTTGCAGGTTGCTCCAATAGCCAAAGTGAACACAAAGTAAAACAGGATGCTGCCAACTATAACTACTGTATGTATCCACGTCTGCAATTCAGACAAGGAAGGAAATAAGATTTAAGCTGTAAAACAGAAAGACTGTTACATCTCTATTTGCAGGAATATGCACACTTTTCCTCCAAGGGCAGCTGTTGAATGTAACTGGGGATACATTTGTTCAAATAATATTCCTAATTTCATACAAAACACTCCAGAAAGAATGGAGCCTTCTTTCTACAGTATACAAGTATTCCAGACATTTAATTTTTTTAATTCTCATAAATTCATAGCTTTTTATTCTTTTGTGAAAGACATTTCCCTCAGATTACCACCTCATCCACTGGCAGCACAGAAAGCTTTCTCAAGCAAATGGAGGTAAGATCTTCACATGACACCACCTTTATATATTTTGCTTGAGACATTGGTTACCTTTCTACGCTGGAGTTTTTCTGTAATTTTACACCTAAATGGCTACAACAGCTATTAAAAAAACAACATTGTCACTGTTCTTACAGCCTGCCAACATTAAAAAATGCCAAACAAAACACATTTAAGTAAAGTTCTCTAATCAGAGTGTGAATACACTCGTGCTATATATATGTTCTCAATAAAGACATTTTAATGATGGCTGTCATACTCCCAAAAGAACAGTTAAAAGACTGAATCACAACTTGACATTTTGTCCATTATAAAACAATCTGAAAAATACTTCTAAAAAGTCAAAGAAAAAACAAAACTCATTAATAAGTGTCCTTCTACTGTACCCATTATTGTATTTTCTTTAAAATTAAGCCAAACCCCCAAGTATTGCCCTTGTAAGTGCTCTAAATTTATCCAAGCTAAGGCAGATGCTTTAGCTTGTGCAGATGTGAAAACTGAAATAATGTTTCTTAGCATATCAGTTTTCCAGTTCTGGCATCAAAACACACTTCTGAGTTGTTTGTCCTGGCCACAGAGATCATCAATTCCAAGCATTCAAAATCAGCAATTTACACTGTTGTCTTTTTGATGCAAACTTTGTGAACTAAGGAAGTTTTTGCAGATCACTGGCAGATTTTTTACCATTTGCAAAACTGATCCATCATCCCCCAAACCACCCAACCTTAAAAGGAAGCAGGATCATGTCACTATTTAAAAATAATTCTGAGGCCAAGTTTTGTTAATTTTAGTCCTATTTCTATTGGTTCCAATGACAGATGTCTTAGGAGAGCTCACATGATCACATAAATTCAATATTTAGGGTTTGACCCTTTTATACTTATTCTGTTTTATATTTGAAGACCTCTTTTCCCTTTAATTTTACTGAAAGCTATATGCACATACACTGTAAGGAATATACTCTTTGGGAAACAAAGTACTTACCACAGACTTGCACTCAATGAGAAGGTGAAACAGCATTATGAAGAGTGCTGCTGTGTTTATGGGGTTTCCAAAAGAAAAAATGTCTATGTCTGAGCCACAGTAAGTCTGTAAAGGAAGACAGTGGTCAGTGTCAAATATTCTTTATGTATAGTCCTAACGTGAAGTGGCATGAATAATTTCAATACCACACATATTTGCACACACACAGTTCAGTTCTGTTCCAATGATGATCTCAATACACATTCATATACAAGGAAGTAAAAATCAAATACTTCATTTTATTCTCTAATTTGCTTAGGTTTTAAGTAAGTGAAAAAGTATAAATATATTTTGTAGCCAGCACTTACAAAGTAAGGCACAAAAAAGCAAACGAGACTTTGGTAAAAAGCATCCAGCAAGGTTATCCAGAAAGCTGAAGGCAAGTAAGCCTGTAAGAGAAAAACATAATGGCATTGTAACAAATTTAACAAATTGCTGCATCTTTAACTAGCATAAATTTGGATCTGGGGAAAGATTATCTGCAGAAGTAATTCCTATTAGTTTTCTAGTGAAAAAGACATCTTTTGAGTTACAGTTATTGGAACAAAGATCTTCCTCCACACATATAGCTGTTAGTGTATAAATCAGCAGCCAGCTCTGGGAACTCTGATCTTGCAGCTGTTCCTATCAGAACTGAGGTACCAGAGTCTCAGCTGATTCCCAAGGAGGGGAGGGGGCTGATGGCAGGGAAGTACCCTGCAGCTTACCATCACTGAATACCAAGTCCCACCTTCTTCTGACCCCATTCCTTTTTGTTATGTTTGCTGTTTGACTCCTCTGTGAGCTAATTTAACTCATCAGATGTGAGAAACCAACTCGTTTTTCTGCTGAAATAACACATTGCTCTTTTAGTGAGTTAAATTAGCTCCTGGGAGGACCTGATGGGATAACTGAGCTGGCACTAGGAAAACAGTTTAACTATATGGATGAAGAGGGAACAGGAAGAAAAAAAGGGAGAAGGCAATAAGACTTCCTCCCTCAGCATACTGTTATGACAGATCAACCACCTAGGGAACCATAGTTGCCTATGCTCTGGCTCAGCTATATCCCATTCCTTCAGGCACTGAAGTGAGACACAGTGGTGAGAAGTGCAATCATCCAGGATGTCTTCTATGATTAGTGGAGAGATGGGTTTTTACAAAGAGCCATTCAGCCCTTTTAAGAACTGAACCACTGTCTGAAGATGATGTGGAAAACTTACTTGCCTTTCAAGAAAGTGATTTAAACTACTGAAGATGAATCCCATTTACTGTTCCATTATTTTTTATGGCTTATACAAAGCTGTACACTCGTGATGGTGTCATGTTGCAATATTGTGATATTGCATCTTATTGCATCTTTTAAAGCATTTCTCTTTTTTCTATACTGTATTTAGTGTATATATAAAGTCCAAGCAATTATTTCCATGTGCTTCCGTGGATAAAAGGAAGTGATAATAACTTGAGTCACAGAGCAAGGAAAGATAGGATGGAGAAAAGACAAAAAAACTAACAGAAGATAAGGGAATAAAGAAGGAAAGAAGAAAATATATTATGTAATGCAGTAATTCTGATTATGTTGCTTCAAAACCTTCATCTCAGCTCAGATCACTGCACTGTACATATCCTGAAGATCAAAACAAATAATGAGGCCTTGCAACATTTACTTAATCAAAATTCTTTGACTGACAAAGCACAGACCTTCTCAAGCCAATCTACTCAGGTTTGGATTGGTATCCAAAGAATACTTTGCTTTTCAAAAATACTGTAAACCAAGCAACATAAAATATTTAAGTGTATATAAAAAGAAATGTAGAAGTCCACAAACAACCAAAACAATTTGTCCATTCACTGTATAACTTTCTAGACCGGACCTAAACTTCTGCTAGGTTATAATAAATGAGACAACACCAGTACAAAATATGTTGTAGCTCTTTTTTTTCAGTAGTATTTGTTAGAATATAACAATAAAATATTTCCAAACTTTTTCAGTAGTATTTGTTAGAATATAACAGAATAAAATATTTCAGTTGAAAGGGATTATTTAGTCCAACTGGCCGACCACTTCAGGGCTGACCAAAAGTTCAAGCATGTTATTAAGGGCATTGTCCAAATGCCTCCTTAACACAGACTTGGGGCATTGAGCACACCTCTAAGAGTCTGTTCCAGTGTATGATCACCCTCTTGGTAAAGAAATGCCTTCTAATGGTATTGTAGGATCTGATCATAAAGAAAATGTTGAGTTTTAGGTGATTCACGTAGTCAATGTTTCCTCTTTCTGGACTATTAGTACCTATTTTGTCTCAGGCTCAGTATATCACTGCCTTCAATTGTTATAATAAAGACATTATTTTAATTATTAAATTTTTAGAAATATAAATTTAAAATTATGCTAGATTTCATGCTAAGCAAAGTAGAAACCAGGAAAAACCCCACTGAGTTATATAATTCTGATTTAGAACCTACTCCCCCACTCCCTTTGGTTTTCTGTGTTAAATGCTGGTAACAAAGTTGGTCTTTACCTGAAGTTCTTTACCTGAAGTTCTTAATTTCTTTTATCATCCAAATGTCTGATAAGATTGGGTCTATTACCAAAAAGAGTCTAAAAAATCTTTTGAAAAACAGGTTTTTATTTATGCACATATTGCTCAGGCCTAGACATTTCCTAACAGAGAAAGTAATTTAAAACAATGTTTTAAACATAGAAGAAAGACAGAAATGGCTCCAAGGCTGACCATTTCAATTTGCTTCAGGCCAAGCACTCTGTAACCTACCTCAGATTTCTGGCTCATTGTGTAAAGCTGTGGAAGTTCCATGAGTATCTCTGCAGATACGTCTTTGTCCAAGACACCATAAATGATGGGTGGCACCGATGTAAAAAGGAGATTGAAAAGAATCAAGATCCAGTAGTCAGTCATTGATGTGCCTGAAAACCCGCAGAAAAACTGGTACCAAAACAGGAGATTCACGTAGGTCTGAAAAGCCAAAGATGACATGATGAAATTCTAGCCATTGACAAATGCTTTAAAAACAAGAGAAAAACCAGTAGGTCTTAGGTCTGGTTAAAGTAATCTGTGGAAACATTTCAAAATCAGACATGACTTGCTGAATCAGTCATGCTTCCATCATATTAGTAGTGCCCCTCACCCACTGTTTAATGAAATCAAACAATGGCTTTGAGTGGGAAACTTAGTCCAAGAAATAAGAGCCTCTGGCCTCTGCAGGCAAATGGGAAACTGAATTGTTTGACACATGCTTTTTGAAACCATTCACAATAGGAAGAGAAAAAATGAAATAAAGCCTCACTAAACCTTTCAGTGCTCAAAAATACATAATCTGTGATTCTTCTAGAATGGGACAGCTACATACCACATTCTTGTAGAAGAAGTAAAGCACCATGTTGGTAAGTCTGGTATAACACCAGTGACCATGGACAAGCAGCAGCTTCCTGAGGTGTCTAAACTGAGAGATTGCAAAGTCACTTGCCATCACAGCCTGCAACACACACAAAGAAAAGGATATGCTATAACCAAACTGTTAAAAATAAGCTTCAGATACTGCCAATGAAGCAACTTACCCACTGTTGGAAATTCTTATTTTATGATTTTTTTTTATACATAGTGCCAGGTTATCCTCCCTCAGATATCCCCTTCCACACAAGACTTCACAACTAACACACAGGGCTCAGTCCAACACAGCCCAGGCAGGAATATGGCTGTCATCATTATTACCACACAATAAATCACTGACACTGACACTTAGGGTACTCATTTTCCTGCATGACATGAGTAATATGGAGCACACTGACAGGCAGCAAACTATTGTTTGAAGCTTGACTTGAAGCATTCAGCTTCTGATCGCTCCTGGTGGAATGCTGAGGCCTGGGTGTGAGGCTCAGGCTGCAAAGTTTTGCCCATGTAAGGGAACAGACTATGGAGCTATTTGGTCTCCAGAGTACACTCTGAACTGATTTTAAATGGAACCTGACATCATTTGCAGCTGTCTTTGGATATACTACCTGCATGCCTTCCTGGCCAGATATTCCCACACCAGTGTCAGCCACCTGGATCATACTGACATCATTGGCACCATCACCTACAGAGAAAAGAGGAAATATCAAAACTAGCTTTACTGGCTATCATTGCTGTGGAGGTGGCAGGAAAAGACAAATACCAAACACCAGAGAGTTCAGAGAAATACATTTGTATGGCTAACACTGAAAAACACTAAGGAAAACAGGATTAGTAAGTAGAGCACCTGCCTGAACTGAGCTATGTTCTCCAAATAGATAATAGATGTTCCTTTTGTCAGAATTTAGCTGGCATGCTGTACCACAAAATATGGGTGCTTTAAATCACAGCCAGTCATCTCCCCTCTGCCTCCTAATTCTGGGAGATTATGATGGAAAGAAAAATACTCTCATTTGCTGCTTTGCATGTTACATTACAATGATATATGACTGACACTGTTCTTACTGCTTTATACTGACCTAAGTTTATGGACTAAATTTGCTACTTCAGAAGACAAACATCATCTCATGTTAGAGACAATTACAATTCAAAGGATTATCTTGCTCATAAAATAAATTCTGTGATAGACATTAATAAAATATACGAGAGAAGAAACTGGCTGCTACTTCTTTTCAGAGAAAGGAGGTTAACCACAAGACTCACCTACAGCTAATGTCATTGCCTTTAGCTTACTTCGCACCAGTTTGACCAGGACACTCTTCTGCAGTGGTGTGGCTTGGCAACAGACTACAGCCCGACATTTTTCTGTGAGTTCCAAGAAAATATTCTGTAGGCTGTCATGAAGGACATGTTCTAAAGTCCTTCCATCAATAACCAGGCCTGAATTGAACCCTTGAGGTTGGGTGGAGGGACTTGCAGAGATATTTCCAAGTTTCTCACTGTGGTTTTTTTTGACAGAAGCATTCTTCTGTATGTCTTCTAAAATTTTGCTCATTACCAAGGCACAGGCATCCTAATAAAAGACAAGAGAATGGCATCTTATGAAATACTGTTTGTACTCTGCCTCCCTTTTAAATTCATAAAATACATATGGGGAAAACGTTAAATGCTGTCCTTGTATAGTATTTGTCTTGAAAGGCTCAGACATGAGGCTGAATACCCCTTTAAAATCACAAAGGATGTAGACTGTTGTTAATGAAAGTGTCTGTGATAAACTCTGCTTTAGCATTGCATTAAGAGAAGAGAGAAAAACCCATGCAAGCCAAAACCTTCACAGTCCCCTAAACTTGAGGCAATGTCAACTCCTTATCTTACCCCATGGAGAAATTAAGAAGCTTATTCAATTAAAATAATTAATCATAATGTAGGGACTGTATATAAAGCAACACATGTTACATACATAGAAGAGATTTCATATTTTACCTACAAGGAAAAACAATACAGAAAAGCAAATGTTCTTTGATTTCCCAAGCAAATAACATTTGCTTTTCTGTATTGTCCTGTGGACCAGCTTTACTGAATTTTTCAGCAGAGAAGAAAATCTACTTTTCTACTCACCCTAGTCTGTGATTTAAGAGTGAAGATCCTGTCCTCTGGTTCCAGCAGTTTACAAGCATAGGCAATGTTGACAGGTGTCTCTCTCTTGTCACCTGTCAACATCCATATTTTTATTCCAGCTTTCCGTAATGCCTCTATTGTGTCTGGAACACCCTCCTGCAGGCGATCTTCAATGCCAGTGGCACCTTAATGTAGACAAGCAGAAAGATTAGTGCTGCTGTATTTCCAAAACCAAAATGCTTCAAGAGTGACAGGACGAGCTGGTTCTCTCTTTGTACCCACATCCCAAAACAGCCATGCTACCATGATGTGCTTGGAATCTCCTGAAAGCAAGCACCTAGGCAGTATGAATTGTTTAACCTCTTTATTTTCACTTTCATTTAATGTTAGGGCCAACCCTTATTACTTATTGTCACACCAGAGACATGAACCTGCAAGACAGCAGGTCTCCAAAGCAGCTTGACTTCCCTCTGTTGGCGTTAGTGGCCAAGGGTACCTCTACATCCTTAGAAAAGAATCAGTTTGCAGCACTGCTCTGGCTTCTCTCCAGAAACTGAAGCTAGTAATCCCAGAATTCCTTTAGTATCAAGGTTTATGGCATTTACACTAAGCAGATATGACACAAAATGAGGGAAGGAGCACCCTTTACACAACAGGATGTGTCTCTCTTCAGCTTCTAGCACAGCTGCCTTTACCACCATAGTCAGATCTTTGCACTTGCTCTTCCAAATCTTATTTGCTGGGCAGCTCTCTAAAATGATTATCTCAGACTGCCTGCAGTTTACCTTTCACACACTTACAGCAAACATTTTTTGTTTCATTTCTGCACAGCTGAATGACCTTCAGAGGAATGGTTCTGACCAAAGCATGCCTGACTTCTTCTCTCCATGTTATCACAGGAGAACACAGCACAAGCACACCTGCTGTGCCACAAATGCAACACTGATAGAAAATATACCCAGAAGTGGATTATTTCTGAGTATTTTCACAGGCAGGCCTGTGACTTGTTATTATCATTTCATATGTTTGCTATAATTACATTTAAAAACTCTTAATGAAGACAGAAAAATACACAATATTAACAATAAAAGAAACAAAAAAAACCCCACAACAGTAGATTTTCACAAATAATAGGAGAGCACCATCTGTCTTCAGTGTTCTTTACAACTAGTACAAACTTACCAGTGAGATTTATGAAAAATTCAGGAGTGATGATAAATTCTAACTCTGCAGAAAGCTATGTCTTACACAGATTGAGATTAGCACAACTCCTTGCAAGCAAATTCCAATTATGAACATCACAGGCATTTTCCTGGGAGTTACAGTATTCTCTACCTACCAAGCAAAGTTAGTTTGGTCTCAAGCCTCATGGCAGATTCAAGCAGGAGGTCCTCCCTATTGTCAATGCTGGTTTCTGCTAAAAAACGATGATTTAACCACTCTGCATATTCTGCATCACTCATCACCTACACAGGGAGGGAAAACATAGGCATGTATCTATGCTGGGTTTTCAACAGTGCATCAAAAGGGTTCTTATGGTTCTTCTGCTGTCCACATCCCAAACCTACAAGTGCAGCCCCAGGCAGCACATTCCTTACATGCTCCAGGATGTCCATGGATTTAATACAATGTTCAAAGTGTTAGATTACTTTTCCAGGCTACTTACTCATTGGCACCCTGCAGTTTCCTGAGGCTGCCTGACAGATTTCCCTTTAGATGGAAGGAAGGCAGGGCAATGGGCCAGTGCACTGTCCCTACTGCTGCTAACCTGCAGTGCTGACACTGCCACAGAACCACTGCACAGCTGGGTACATCTTGATGGCTGCACAGCTACACAGCCTGTGCTTTCACTTTGTATAAAGCTTTGTCAAGAGGCTTCTAGCCTGTTTCAATCCCTATGGAATTTTACTTCTGAGCAGCTCTGAATTAAAAGAGAATCTCAAAACATCACTTCAGTTGTGCATCCACAGCTTGTAACACTGCAAACTGTTTGTGAAACCCAATGAAACAGGTGTAACTTAATCTCTTTTTTGTGTCTGGAATTCCACCCAGGGTAAGATTCATACAAGGAGACCTGCTTATGACTCCTAAAAAATCTGACTAATTCGACAATCCCTATTTTAAAATTAGGATGTTAAGATGCTTGGCAGCCTAAATTGACAACAGTGGCAATCTAACAGATGTCAGGAATTGATCTGGGTTTTCTTACAAATTCCTCCTAAAAGAACATCAGGATAAACAAAATATGGCAATAGAAGAATCTGTTTAGAAGACATGATGTTTGCTCCATGGTGGTACCACTGAGGCTGGTCACAGACTGCAAACATTCTTCAAAATATATATGAAAAGAAACACCTTCTTAGCAATACACAGAGTGCGCAGTCCTCTTCTGGCATAATCATCCAAATGCTGCTGAGTTCTCTCTTTGATCTTCTCTTCAATTTCAGAATTATTAGTATGTACTATTACACAAGAAGAGAAAGCAAATTAAACATGCCTGTTTAGGCTCAATTTAGCAGAAAATTTTGAAGGTCTAAATACATTCTTGAAGTAGTAAAATGTTAAAATTTATCATTAAGGAATGAATTACAAGTTCTCTAGATACCTTCAGATGCATTTCTCAACAAATCCATCATGACTGAGTCTGCACCTTTTGTGTACACCACCACTTTGTTGGAGACTGGATGCCGAACCACCACTGACATCCTTTTCCGCAGTGAATCAAAAGGCAGGATATGCAAAAGCTGAAACGTTAAAGAGCCCAGGCCTGCAAAGTCCACAGTTACTTGATCTGGAGTCCTAGACTGTAAAACACATTTATAAGCCCTAGCAGCATGAACCAAGGCAGCTTCATCTGGACTCTCAGCTTCATAACATAGTTTTGGTATGGGAGATAATTCGATGGATGGCACAGCATGGTTGGGTTCACCTCCAGCAGCGACATTCACTAGCTGTAGCTCTCCAGGCACTTGAGAATTTTCTGGGCTGTCAGTATTGTGAGGTTCAGAAATCCTCCGAGCATCTCCATCCAAAGTAGGTGAAGCCAGTTTCATTCTAAAAATAGACAGTTTTCTCACAAAACTATTGGGGCTTTCAGATGATGACTCCTTTACACTTGGAAGGGGGGAAGAACTTAGTCTCCAGACTGAAAACCTCTGAAACATTTGCCTGATTTCCTCAAGAGATTTAATAGGCATCCTACTCAGCGAAGAGAGTCTCATCTGGAACAGAATAGTTAGAGAAAGTATTTATGTTAAATCCTTCCCTTTTTATTATATTAAGGAAGGACACCTTACCAAGTAGGTACATTTCATAATGAAAGTAGTATTTTAAAATTTATCATGGGTTTGACTGCTTGTATGGCCAGCTCAAGTAAACCATGTGAGTACAGTAAACAGCCTCTATAAGCCCTGAAAGTACTTCAGGTCTGAAAACTGGATGTGTTTCAAGTTTAATTCATGACTCCATGTAATACTTCTCTTCAGAACTTTCAGTAATGAACAGAGTAAGTATGACATTGTAACTTTTTGAAGTTGTGGCAAATTGAACTAAACACATTAATCGTTGTTCTGAATTAGCAAAATACTTGTGAAGAATAAACCAATCCTCTCACACTAAGTAGCTACAAGAACTGCTAAACATACAGTTTATGGTTATCAACAGTTAACTGTTGATAACTTATCAACAGTTTTTAGTGTTTTAAACTAAAAGACAGTTCCCTGTGATCAGCCCTCTCACACTAAGTAGCCACAAGAACTGCTAAACATACAGTTAACTCTTGATAACTTATCAACAGTTTTTAGTGTTTTAAATTAAGACAGTTCCCCTGTGATCAGTGTAGGGAGCTAACTGCTTACAAAAATAAGGCATATAAGGCTGACATTCCTTTCTCACTACTGGTGAGAAGAATGAATTATAAGGAAGCATGTTCTCTTTTGCCACTGAAAAGCAAAAGACAGGGACAAACTGTGGCTCAGTCCTCCACAGTGCCAGCAAGTTTCAGTGTGTCTCCATTCAACATCATGGAAACAGAGACTAGGAATGTCCTTTCATTGCCTCTTCCTATCTAAAAGACAGTTCCCTGTGATCAGTGTTGTAATATAATTGGCTTTCTGTTACTCAGAACAGCTAGGGAACTAACAGCTTATAAAAATAAGGCATACAAGGCTGACACTCCTTTCTCAATGCTGTTGAGAATAGAAGAATGAGTTATCAAGAAGCATGTTCTCTTTTGCCACTGAAAAACAAAAGGTGGCTCAGTCCTCCACAGTGCCAGCAAGCTGCAGTGTGTCTCCATTCAACATCATGGAAACAGAGACTAGGAATGTCCTTTCATTGCCTCTTCCTATGGCAACACTGAAATTTTCTGCTGCCTTGAGTTCTTTCCTGTCATTCCCTAATCATGAACTCAAAATCTCCTTCCACATGCTCCTCCCAGTCTACCTATTAGTGACCTGGAGATCTTCTACCCTGCTGGCAAGTTATTCAGACATATCAAAAAAACAAGAGTCTCACCTGTATATTATTCTCCATCCCATTTAAGAAATAGGTAATTATTGATAATGAGCTAATCTTCCCCACATGGATCTCCAGGCTGCCTACTACACACTTTCTGGGAATGCTTGGAAGCACACTAAAATACCAGGCTTATTTATAAATAGAAGTACTTCATATCCCTCAGGATATGTTTTGTGAATGTCTCCAGCTATGGTTGTAGGTTTACTACCTAGATGGATATGAAAATCTAGTTCTGCACATGTCACTAATTTTTTTTTCCACAAACAAAGTCAACGAATGTAAATCACCAGGTAATGAGGGAAAGAAATCAAAGGTGAACTTGGGAATTATCCTGCAAAGCAGTCAAAATTGGCAAAAAATGGAGTTATGAAAATCCCACACTGAAAAAACCCAAAAGATTTGAAAAAAAAGTACTATGTTTTAAAAAAAAGTTAGGTTGTCTGCACTGGAAAAAACAAGTGGCCACTCCAAACTACTAAACCAGGGCAGACTAGAAAATGCACTGTTAATTCATGGTGAGACAACTTTATGCCATACTGCAACTAATTTTTCTTCAGACTAATATACATATAAAACTTCATCTTCCGTATTTTGCTGAATGTCTATTTGAACAGTCAGGGAACAACATTCCAAGAGGTAAGAGCATTCTCAGTTTCAATATTCTGTGAAGCTTCTGCAATTATTCTTATTTTTCAGCCAACAATAACCTATTTGTGAAGGTAACCTGACTGTTAATCTATTATTACAGGAAATTATACCCATATCTAAAAAAACCCATAACTAGAATATGGAAGAAATTACAACTGCAATTTAATCTCCAAATTTGTCTTGTAAAAGTTACAAATGGTCACAGAAACAAAAATATTGAAGTCAATTTACCAGTATTTTATTCATTAACTCATTGCACTCCATGGTTTTACAGTAATTCCCTTCTTTCCAAGAGGACAAAAACGCAGAGGTGAAAAGGATAATTTTTTAAATGTCAGTTAATTGAATTTTTATTTTTGTAATTGAACCAAAAGGTGATCAGCTACTTGCCAATATGGGGCCAAATAAGCAAAAGCAAGGCCTTCTTACCTTCTGACGTGTCTGATTGGGGCCTGACACCACAACAGTATTACAGACTGCCAGAGCAAGAAAGAAATCAGTGATATACGTTGTCTCCAAAGATAACTTGCTGCTAGCTTCTTCTGATTGTTGATAGGAATGAAAAGAAATTTGACTGAACTTCTCCAGCAGCTGTGTGTCTGGTACAACATCTGTCTCCTATCATGAAATGAACAAAAGTTTCCATCAGGTTATAAACTCAGCTTCTGGAGGTTAAATCAGTTAAAGATGATCAAAGTGTAGAAGCTCATACAACTTCCCTCCTGTGCTGAGTTGTAATACCAGGAAACAGAGGAACACTGGCATCTTCACTGCCTTGTGCTAGTCCATTGAAAATGGCAAACTTCCTGCCCAAAGAGGTAAACACTAAAGGCTTAGTTCATGGCCTTAGACACTCCAACAGAGATTAAGTATGATGAATGGTATTTAGACACCTTCAGGTACAGAAGCAAAGTTTTTTTCCTCTCATCACCTTAAATAAGTATGGACCATATGGGTATTTCCTATTAAAAACATAAGAAAATGCTAGAAACCTCTTAAAATAAAAGAACAAACTCTTATTAAGTTGGTAATTTCATTTGAACTGATCATGGATGTAGAGCAGCAAGAGTCAAACTACACACCTTCATGAACCCATGTGTCTGCAATGTCAGTTGTAAACAGCATACAACCAAACCATCATGAGATCTCTGATTTTGGCTGGAGAAAGCATTCTTTAAATGACACCAGTCTGATCAAATGGGAGTAAAAAGAGATACCATCATGAGTTAATTCAGAAATTTAGCATTGAACCAAACAGCTTCTACTTACAATGGGACTGCTGAAAGCCATGTGTCCTGAGCTGGGAATATCACCTGCTTCATCTTGCCTTTTGAATGCAGAGTAACTACCAGACAACTGGTTCAGAGACTTTCTGTTCAAGGGTTCACACACAGCTCTGCAGTTATGCCCCTGACATTTTGATGTATGGGTTGAAGAGCCACACTGACAATCAGCTGAATCCTCATCCTCTGAATCCATCTCTTGATAGGATTCCAACCTCTTTGCTAAAGAAAGGGAAACAAAATTATTGTTCCATGAGCAAAAAGAAACATGTCCAAAATACCACCTGAAATAAGAAATTAGTTATATAGTTAATAATAATCCACCATTTATGAAAAATTAAACCTGTAACAAGCCACCACACTGTCTTGTTTGAGCAACATTCTACTGGATTGAATCCAGAAGACGGAACAAGAATGATCGGAGTTCTACATAACATGAGTCAGAAAGATACACTAAAATAAGCTGGAGTTACACAGCCTTCAGAAGGGCACATTGATGGGAGTCAAATGTGGGTTCAAGCGAAGGGAGATTGCACAGAGATAGGAAACAGCCTGTTTTCTGTGCACACTGTGGCTGTCAGAAGACACAATGGCTCCACATTGTGGCAAGACGGACTCAGCTAGGTATCAACAAAACCTTGTCAGAGATGATGTCAGAGATGATATTAGAATGGAATGCCTGAGAAAACACTGAATAGGACTTTACTGAAGGTTCTGAAGAAATAAAACAAAGAATTCAATAAAGAATAATAGCAACAATTCCGCTTTAAGCCAGAAAAACAGGACCAGGCTTCTGATGAGTTTTCTAGTCATTATGTTATGATGGATCAGGATGGTATGTCAGGGGTTTGATAAATACAGCTGCTAACAGGAACTCATTTGAATTGTGTTTATTGTTTCAGTATTGGACATCCCCTCACAAAAAGATACACATTTTCTGAGTTTTTAATTGAAAAGCAAGTTTCAACAATCAAACTTTGTCTGGACATGTGTAACACCTTTGTGCCAGAGATGTAAATGCAGTTCTGTTCCTCTCCACAAATCAATGGTGTAAAGAACCTCTGTAGCAAATGGAAACACTCCTATGCTATCATGTGCTTGATTAAGAACATATCCAAGTGTTTGCACTGGAGTTCTGAGAGTGTTTGACCACATGCCAGAATCGAAATCTCTGGAAAGCACTGGAACTATGTACACTATTCAGCTTTCAAGTTTTACCTCTCACTGTGAAAACAGCATTCCATGAGCATACACCAGCACTTCAGTGCCTAAAATCCACAGACAGCATGGAAAAACTGTTCTGAGTGCTGTGTGTTGCCTATTTGTTCCACTGAAGTCTGAATACAAACAATGGCATCCTAGCAAAAAACCAACATTAGCATACATTGCAGACATGTCCAGCAACACCATTAATTCCTTATTTCTTTATTTCAAGTGGTACCAAATGTACAGGAAAGAAGTGAAAAGCAGGATATAATTCTGTTTTATACAAACAGAAAACCTTTCCACAGGTCAGTCCCCAGGTCTGTTGCTCTAAATGACATGGGACTAGGTTTATTATGTCATTTGTGAGTCTTGTGTTTTCTACTGTCTTGTCTTTCTGCAACACAAATGAAAGAATCCTGTCCTCCATCCTGCTATTCTGAGGAGTCCAAGGAAACAGGGAGACCAGAGCTTACACCTTCCTTGGCAGGCCATCTTCCTGATATCAGTATGAAACTAGTAACACAGGTGTTTTAAAAAATAGGTAAGTGGGAACATAACAGACTGTGGCTCTCCACAACCATCAAATAAAAAATGCCACATGAGGCACTGATAACTTTTACTGGAAAGCAGCACCAATGACTTAGTATGTGTGTTTGTAGAGGCAGGCTTGGACAACACATGCCCATTCTGCTCTGCTTCCAGGCTGCGGAGAAGCTGCATGCTCTGTCTGAAGTAACATGTGACAATCTCTTCAAACACCACACTGCTCTACTGCCATGATCCAAGAAGCACACCTCACTTTAGACAGACCACCACCTAGGGGCATCTCTATGGAGGATTATTCTGAATCACAAGCATCCCTTTACGCTGGGAAATACAGATACAAACACAAATACATATTCAGATTAGGCAGCTTCTATGCAAAAGACTGTATTGTGTTGCACTGCAACTCTCACCATATGTAGCAAGAGCCTTGCAAACAGCAGCTCCATGCATCTAAACACATATAAGCCAGGGCTAAAAAACAGGACCTCCATTTTTCAAACTGATTTTCAGGGCTCATATAATTTCTAATTTGTTAGGAAGAAATGCATGTTTACTCTCCAGGGAAAAGACAGGGCACAGGAGGAAGTAATTATGTACTTAATCAACACACTAACAATTTTGGAAGATGACTTTAAATGAACTGCTAGCAGAAGCATGTGGAGGCATACTTTCCCTGGCACACTGAGACCTGAATCAGTCACAGCTGCATCACTCACACCACTCTTTGGTTTCTTTTCTGAAAGTTTTCCTTGATTTAGGAAATGCTCTGAAAATATAATGTGCTTTTTATTTAAATTGTTCATTCATCAAGTTCAAAACTTAAAACATTTTTTCTCACTTTGCTGTTGTCATCCTTCCCAGGACAATTATGCAAAGCCAAAGAAGCATCTGGGAACCCTCATCATAAGACTTCCAAAAAAACATGTGCAGAAATTGCTGTAAAATTTGTCTGTAATATCTGGTCCTGTGACACAACAAAGGAAGGGCTGAACTGATTCATTGCTGTGGCCAGCAGAGTGTGCCTTTTGCTTACAGTTGTGAGCAGTTCTATCTGGCAGCAAACCCATTAAAACCACAAAGAGGGTTTATACACAGCTGTGCCTCACATGTCCACCCATCATCAGCACCTCACCCTTGATCTCATATGGAATATTTGCAGTGTCCACCAGCAAAAGAGCAAATTTCTGCAGGCACAAGTACATACATATGGTAACTGTAATAAATACTTTGTGGTTTTACATAATTAATAAAATGGCTATTTAATTCATTCACAGCACTCTGCCCAATTTTCTCTTGTGTCTGGAGCTGTATCTTCTCCCAGCTCGCAGAAGACTTCAAGTTGGCTCTCATGAAATACACATTGAAAGATCCTACACTTTTCGACAATAAGACAGCAACTTTTCATTAACACTGCTCCTTGATGTTTTGCCTAATAATAAGCAGCTGTGTAAGAACTAAGTAAGAATACAAGTCATTTTTAATGAAGGTACTTTGCAGCATTAGCACACACATGGACACACATCTGATTGACTTAAAATTACTTACCTTAAAATTACTGTTAAATAATGTATTAATACTGTTAAGCATGTATTTAACTTGGGTTCCTATGTCCTCAAGAGCAGAACTATGTCAAAGTGCAGTCTTAACATATACTACATAAAGGTGGTACACTGCTAGGATGGTCAACAGGAAGTTTAAACCTTAAAATGCTAGGTAAGCATCGGCACTCTAGTTGGAGGGAAAAAAGAGAGGAAACAATAGATGGGAAATTTTCCAGTGTTCTGGGTTCTGAATATTTCGTGGAGAGAAACAAGACCAAGAAGGCATGACTTCTTCCATAAGGAATAAAGAATACAGTTCATGCTCAAATATGTTGGAAAAATGATCCAGGTGAACAAAGGTTTAGTGTCTTACCATTTTCCTCATGGCAATACTCCTGTCCTGCAATGCTGCATCTCCGAAAAACCATCTTATTTTCAGTGAGGGTTCCAGTCTTGTCAGAGAAAATATACTGAATCTGGCCAAGGTCTTCAGCAATATTTAGTGCTCGACACTGAATAGTTGAGTCTGTTTTCTCGTGGTAAAAATCAATGTCATTCTGTATTAAATAAATTTGTCCCAATTTGACAATTTCAATTGAAACATAGAGAGAAACGGGGATCAAGACCTACCAAAATAAAGCATAGGGATTAAATAAAACCAAAGTCTTTGGCCAGTTACAAGCATGAAGTAGCTCTACTGAAGAGTTACTTCAAGAGTACAAATGAGGTTAGACCATAACCCATGCTCAAAGCAGACCCGTTACCTGTAATAAAATTATCATCGTCCAGAACATATAGAAACCTGCTAATGCTGGAGGACTCGATGTCCCATCTGGCCTGGGGATGTTAAAAAAAGGTATTTCCGAATACCTACTTAACCAGATTCCATGACCTTGAAAACAAGAACAAGATAAATGTCAATCAGTTTTATGTAAAGTGTTTCACAGCTCAGGATTATTATGTTAGCTGTTGTACTCTGCAGTTCTTTCTAAGCTTTTAAACTACAATTTTATGTCTCGGGGTTTTTTTCCCAACAGGAGTCCAAAGTATCAATATATACATGAAGAAACACCTTACACGCCTTCTATCAACAGCATCTATATGGCATATCTCAGAAATAAAGAAATACTAACTACACTTCACAAATAGGTTTTTTTTTTCCCCGCCAAAAAAAACCTGCTGGCAATTAATTTTGTTATCCTTGCTTGTCCAGGTTTTAGTCTACTAGTGAACACATCACCATGTCATCATTTTTAAGTGTAATCTGAAGCAGCATTATTAAACATATTTTAAACACCTTTATGATCTGTCAGAAAAGGTAGTCTGTTTAGATGTACTCAAGCTAATCATTTAATCGACCCCTAAAATATCAAGTCAGTGCAACTCTAGTTACACTAGGTCTCTCACCTCAATGTGTACATGTATCTCATGTTACCTGAAAAATCCTAAGGGAAAATAGGAGTTTTGCAGAACAGTTAGTTAGAAAAAAGATAAATTGAATGGAGAAAGAGGATCCAGACCCAAAAACTCACATCAGGAACACACTTTTTAACACTGCAGATCAAACATGATGACATGAACTTAAACCTCACAGAACTCCCAACTTTCAGGAAATTACATAAGGATGAAGACTGACAAAATCAATCAGCCCTAAAACAAAACACTAACCATTGTAGGCTGAGAGAGGAAAATAGCAGGAATCTGAGTGATTCTCACTTACCTATTGCACCAGTTAAACACATCAAAAGTAGAAGCAGAACACACCAAAGAATATCAGTGTTCACTTTTCTTTCCAATTTACTGCGCTTGTAGTGAGGGCCGCTGTTATTCAGCATAGCTTTGGTTTCATGACCTGCAACCAAAAAGGAGGTTGAAATTCTCTAATAACAGGTATCACAACTGCAGGTGCTTTATATTTCTAAAGCTTTGGGAAACCAAATACTTCTATTAAATAATATTTGAACAGCCATTTTAAATATGAGTAAATTAGGTTCTCCTGCAATACATGAATTCTGTCCTAAGGAAAACTGAAAGAGTCAAATCAAAATCTGTCAAGCATACATTAACTTTTATACTGTCACTAATATTCTGTCCTTTAGAAATATCATTCTTGACCCTTCCACATAATTTTAGCACTTTCTACAAAACCCTACATCTGTGTTACAACTATCTGGCTGGGTGCATCATACTGATTAGTGTAAAAACTTCTGTCCTCTCTACAAATTGTAGAACAGAACCAGAACAGTGCCAGCTTCAGTTTTGATTAAGAAAAAAGTTCTAAGCAAGTCACACATTTCCATATCCATTTAAAAATCTCAGTTTACCATTGCAACTAACAAGTTGAGAATAAGGACCTGTTCACACCCAACAGATCTGCCCTTCCAGGAATAATCAGGGATATCAGTTTTTTACTGTGAAAACAGAAACAAACTTAACCCAGATATGCATTCTTAATATTTCTAGCTATGGCTGCTTTCTGCTGGATTCAAGCTTTTACTCTCCCAATTCCCCTTTGTACAATACTGTTTCTCAGGGCACACAGCTATCTTGTTTGCAAGGCAGTCTGTGAAAGCCAGGGCAGTTCACTAACCTGCATATACCACTATGCCTACCACAGCTTCTGTGTTTCTTACTGTGCATCCTCGGAGCAGTAAGTTTTCCTTGCTGAGACCCACTCGATCCATGTTGGAATGCTCACTGCAAAAAAAAGCACCTCACATCAGCTGTAGGAATCCAGCAATTACCAACCAGGCTTTTCAAAACCATTAGGAACAGATTTCCCAAAGAAGCTGCAAGTCACTTTATGCCATCCTGACACATCTGATTGGACTTTTCAAATGAATGGAGTAACAGGAAAGCAGATCACCCTTGAAAATCTGAGCATTTGCCATCTGGTATAGGAGAAGCAGGCAACACTACTGAAAAGAGATCCAAGACAAATACTGGAAATCTGAAACCCTATCCTATTTGGATTATCAGCATCAGAAAATATTTCAAAAAAATCTTAAATCTCATAATAAATTTAGGGTGAGCAACGTCACTCCTGTGGTATACTTCCAGAGCAACTAGGCCCACTCTTTGTCAAGGTGCTTCCTCAGAGACTCAGATTTATATGTATTTATTTTTATTCTCAAATATCTAATGTGTCAGTGTGGAAAGGGAAGAATATAGACATTCTAACTCTCAAACCCTGAAAATAGGTCACACCATAAAAAAGCAGTTTGTTTTCCTATTATCTGTAGAAAGCCATAAACCTGTAAGTACCACAGAATCATAGAATGGTTGGGGTTAGAAGGGACCTTAACAATCATCTAGTCCCTTGAGGTCCCTTCCAACCCGAACCATGAAGGAAACCCATAACATAAACCCAGCCTGAAGAAAAGACATAGATAGGCACACTGATCAAAAGGAGTTTGATCAACTGATTGAAGGTTACACAAAACAAATCAGAGTAGGAAAGGAAGCCAGTCCTTCAGATTTCTAAATCTAAGCAATTCAGCTTGCCCAGTCAGGCTGTGGTCCAGACCAAATACTATAGATACCATATGTTACGAAGAGAAGATTTAAAACAGCTATTTCAAGTATGAAGTTTGCAAAACAACCTGAACTAAGATGTTGAAAATATTTAATACAAAATAAAAAGCATCAGTGCCCCATCTGCTGCTCAAAAAACCCTGTCTGTTGCACTGCACTCAGAAACGCAGTGGTGCAAACTGACCTCTATCCATATCATTATTTCTTAAAGCAAACATTACAAGATCTCTGAAAATCAGTAAGAATGCCAAAGCAAATGACAATAGTTTAAAGAGCCAGCAAGTCTACTTACAGAAAGCCTCGGAAACGATTGAGGTCATTGTTAGGACTTTCACACTCTATTCTACTGGAAAATTCTTCTGGATCAATTTCAGAGACCTAAAGCCATGGGAAGGGAAAAAAACCCAGAGAACTCAGACAAAATGTGTAGAACCTAAAAACATTGTATATTTAGAGGTTCAGATACTGCTATCTAATAATTTAGCCTCTAAACTGTAGGTTGTTGGTGGTATTGATGGTCTCCTACCCAGTATAAATCAGATTTACACACCATAGGACTTCCTAGAAAATATTAAACACTGTCAAGTATCACTTGAATTGCTGATATTTTGAGAACACTGGAGAGGAAAAAAATGGGTGGAAGGATGAGGAGGAAGAAAGAAATGCAAAAGCATTAAGAACATCTGAAAGGCAGAGATTTCCCATGGATTTTTCTCATTGTATGATAATGAAAAAACAGAAAGAAGAGACACTGTCTTCTCTGCAAGCAGGATTTTTTTCAAACAGACTTTTTTTTTCCCAATACCATGACCAGGATGACTTCCATGCTAACACAAAGAAAGCAGGTGGAACTTTGCAATGATGTTTGAGACTTGCAAATACCAAAGAAAGGGCTGTTATAAAAGACCAGACCTACATAATGCAAATGAAAAGCAGGTGAGCTCTTCAGTGAAAAGTCAAGTGAAACAAATCTCCTGTATTCATAAGAATGAAACATGACCAGAAGTAAGAAAAAAAAACGAAAAGGCCTTATCTATGGAATTACCTCTAATTACCTCTACTTCTGTCAGACAACCTCAAAAACACCCCTACCACTATCACAAACACAGTTAAAACCTCCTTCCTAATCAGCCTAATCCCCATAATCATTATTGTGATTTAATTTCCATTAATGGCATATGAATATGCTTCTAGTCTCTAGTACAACACAGGCTTGCCTCTGATATAACTGAGTCATTTCCACGCTGAGTACCTGCCACTAACTCTTTGGAAAGTCATTTGTTCTACTCTTTGAAAAAAACCCCAATGACCAATTTAAGGTTTCGAACTTCCAATTCACTTCTCTAATTCACAGGTGTTACTGAATATATCTTCAACATAATTACAAGTCTCTGAGAAGGCTGTACTCCATCAACTGGATGACCTCACACTGGCAAAATAGCAACTGTGAGCTTAAAACAAAATCCTGTAACTAGAATTTGAAACTCAGAGGACATCATATTGTTACAATATGTTAGGTTGATTAAAATTCTTTTTTTGCTATGTTTTGCTATATTGATTTGTTGCACTGTATCAACCTGAAGTCAATATGAACACAGCCTTTGACACAGATACATCCAGTCTCTTTGCAAACTTGGTTAAATGTGAAAGACCTGTCTCTGCAATGACGCTTCTCATTGTGATTTGCATCGGAGGCACAACATTTCTGTAAGATGTTGTACAGAAAAACTTGACTGATGCTTTGCAAGAATTTTGCACTGTACACTGATTACCCAAATAGGAACTAATCTCAAAGTGAAACAGTCAAAGCAGTCAATTCTTTTCTTCCACTGTCTGGAAACATCTAAATATATACTGCTGGTGGAGCTTCCTGTAATATACCTTGAAGCAGCAAGCACTGAAACTCTGGGTGTAATCTATAGTGGACACAGCTATCTACACTCTGCCAGCATAAAACAGAGGTTACAAAAACTATATCAAAAAGCAGATTTCTTGATATGGACACACAGATCTTCCTGGACTATAAGTTTATTTTCTATATTTTTTTCATTATAATCATAATTTTGGCAAAGCAAATACTGAGAGTAGAAGTCTTTGTACATTATTTCTTGAGAAGTTTTCCTATGTTTCCTGGCACAAAAGAGAAGACTTACATTTTGGCAGAATTAGAATTACTTGGATTTTGTGTAAAGGTCACTAAAGAAGGGAGACAATGAAGATGGAAACTGAGTAAGGGAGCTGGGAATGGCAGGCATCAGACACTCACTGAAATGGGGAGATGCAGATTCCCAGGGCCAAGCCCACTTGCTCTGGCTGTGCTGTGTTCCTGACATATACACCATTTGATAACACAGCATGGGAATGGAGTGGGTGTATGGCTAAGGTGGAAGAGGAGGCCTAGGAATGCCTTTGATCAACTTGGCTTAGGCTTACCAGAAGAAAAGAACAGCACTTGCCACTAGCTTTGAGGATGCTGCAGCCAGGATTGGATTCAGTCACTGACCACACAGGCTGAGAGGGATCCAACTGCTGCAGTTCTTTGCTATCTCTTATAATCAAATAGGAAATATTCACTATTCACAGTGTTTTAGTGCTAACGGCATATCACCTTCTCCGCCCCCATGAACCTGCACGTGGTTCAGCTAACCACATGAGGGGTAGAAGGAAAAGGAGAGGAAGCAACATTTTAGTATCTTGAAAGCAGCAGATTAATGTCAGTTTGTTCACAAAATAGTTCATCAACCTCAGGAAGTCAGTCCTCTTCTGTTTTGTGTATTTCTCTTTGAATGCCAAGATGGTTGGAGACAGTGTTCTGTGTCTCATTACCCACTGCAATTTAAGAAGCCTCAAGTTACTTTCCCCATTTCTTTCCTGTTGTCATTTAAGCATTGAAAAAATAATAAAAAATCACTATGAGAGTTTCAGCTCCTGCCTCTTGCTTTCCTTTTGCCTTGCCTTCTCTTAAAGGAATCCCATGTGCACCAACAGGTGCCCCATTGATAAACCCTTTCATTGTGTTCCTACTTGCTCAGTCACAAAGAAGCAGGACATAACAACCTTGGAAATAGATTAAGACTCTGTAGTTCTTGTATTCATATGTTCTTTAATTTGGTGTTGTTTATTCCTTTTCTTCTGGGGTTAAAAAGTGGGAGAGGTCAGGCAGTCAACCCCTGACATGGCATTGCCAGTTTTACTCAGACTGAGTTTATAAGGACAAATTCCCAGCCTGGAGCTCAGCTGGAGGTGCACTCAAGGTCTGTGAAACAGACCATGGCTGTACATTCAGAAACCAAGCAATCCTGACAAGAAGACTCTATAATAACTATAAATGTTTTTTTCCTATTTGAAAAAATGAACAGTCCTGAATGGTGAAGGAATTGACACTTTTTTTGGACAGTATGACTCTTCCTAGAATTTTGGTACAAGCTTTCAAAAAATAAAGAAATCCGTCTTTTTCTTCAGTGGAACTCAAATCAGGAACTCAATCCCCCTGGCAGCAGGAGCTGGTATGAGAATTGGGCCACCTCAGTATATGCTGTAAGCCTGAAGAACCATTGGCATTTTGCTTTGTATAATAATATTTAAAAAAAAGATCAAACAGTGCTTCCTGCCTTGCTGTTTTAAGACTAAATCAAGAAATAAAAATAAAAACAGAAGTAAAAATAAAAGCAAGCATGTGTCTGTTAGGGGATAAGAAACAGCCTTGTTCATGGATAGCACATCATGCCTTTGGTATTACCATACCCACTAAGTAATGGCACTTAGAGACAACTTCTCACTTCCTCACCACTGCTGTAAATTCAGAGGCAGTTCAGGTAATTTTTATGTCCAGAGGTCTCAACACTTGGTTGTTACGGACAACACTGAAGCTCCCTGCTGTTGCTTTAAGCATGGTGTTTCAGCAGCAGAACTGAAGTCTACAGAAATGTCAGGATTCTTTAATCTTGTAATATTGTCTTTTTTGTGCCAGCCTCCAGCATTCTGGCTGCTAGGAATAATATTAAAATATTATAAGGGAGTAACAAAGTGTTTGCAGTGTGAAGAAAGGGTGAAAAAGATAGTATCTGCTCTTCTCTCTAGGTCTTCCCATAGCACAGAAATCCTTTCTAAAAAACTCCAATTTCTCACCTGTGAAATGTTATGCACCATAAGTAACTACTTGAGGCTTACCTGAATTGTTAATTTCAATGGTTTTCATTACTTGAAATAGATCTGTCTTTCTCTGGGTTATGTGAACACACAAAGATTTGCTCTGAAACCACTCAAGCAACAAACTAGAACTGTGTTACCTAGTACCTTGGGTTTCAGATGGGGATTGCTGAGCTACCATGAGTTAGGCAGTCTAGAGGGCTGAGTTGTTTAGGTTTTTTTAGTTCACCACCTGTCATGTCAGCTTTCTTACACCACTAGAAAAGCACAATTTTTACCTGCTCTGAATATCCTCTCACCACCTGTCTCTGCTTTAGATTGGTTTCTCCATCAAGGCCTGCAGTTTCAATGTAACAGATCCCATCTGGGTCACTAGAATATAACAGCACCATGTCAGCAGGAATGATTTCATTGCGTGAAAGCCGGACGAAGTCCCCAACATTGACATTTTTCCAGCACTCATCTATGTATTTCTTCTCTTTCCTGGAATACACAGAACAGTGATTTTTTACAAATGCATAAGCTGAAACTGAGAAAAACCTACAGGTGCTATTTGTGGTGGCTACTACAACATATCAAAAGTGACATTTTCCAAAATACTTGTTGTACAAAGTACAACAAGATGACATTATAGTGCAATAAACTAGCAGCCTTTCAATTTCCATTAAGCTATTTAGAGGAATTAAAACTACATGTTTCAAAACAAACGCTATGTTTAACAATGCTTCACTAGTCAAAGTACCTTGGCTAATACAGTATGAACACACACATGAACTCATTTGCCTCAAAGCAAAACTTCTTTTTCCTGATTTTACACTAACATGATAACCATTTAACAAAACTGGTGATCAAGTCACAATTAGACCCTGATATAAACAATCCTGTTTTGAGCAGGAGGTTAAGACTAAATGACTTTCAGAGACCTTTTCCAAATTATATTATTTTATGCTTCTATAAGTATCCAGAAGGTAAACAAAAGAGTTATCACCAACTCTTTCATATAATAGTCATAATCCAATAATAACAATAAACCACAAACACTCTTGTCTCTTACCTGCTATATACTTTGGTTACTAAGTTGTTTATCTGTTTATCCATTTTGTACCTTGAATAATCTTCCAGACCATCCTTCACTGCAATAATTGTCAGAACCCCTATCAGAGGTAGCATTGTAATTTCTTTTTGGAAAGCTTCAACTAGAGGAACCCAATTTAGGACAACCAGAAAGAGGAAATATAAATTGGCAACTCTGAAACAAAGAGAAAACACAGGATTTAACTGTGCTAGCAGGCAATGATCCTTATTTCCCCACTTCATGCTATACATAGATTTAAGTTATCAGCAATTTATCTTTTCTTCACGTGCAATTTAAGGTATAACTATCCAGAACTCTGTTTTCTCTCTCCAGTCAACAGATTACCTAGCAACACAGTTGCTTAACATACATGATCAGGTAATGCAGAAACTAAGATTTCTCCAGTATTTTCAAAAATGTCCTCTAGGCACATGTTCTCCAGAGTGAAGCACTGGTGAATTTTGCACTCTCAAATTTCCAGGTCCTTTAAACTTAATTTTATCATCTCTTAGGAAAGATTACATGTTTTAAAAAGGGAGCCATCCTGTAACCTCCTTGTGTAGCTTGACAGATCTCCAAGCAAAAGGAAGATGAAAACAATTGGCAAGACAGAAAGCCATGAGGGAAGGGGGAAAAGACATTTGCAGGAAATAAGCTGAAAATCCCACTACCGATTGGTGTGTGGCAGTGCTCCAAGAGCAAGGAACAGTTCAACAGTCCAAAGAACAGAATAAGTGGAAAGCACATAAGCTAAGGAGAAAAGGATTAGCTCAACAATGATGATCCTCAAGAAACTTTGGCCATATAACACGTATCTTTTCAGAAGCAATAGGTCAGTGGGAGGAGTAATTTTTTAACATATAGTAACACAGACAAATGTTTAAATAGAAGTATTCAACTTCAGAAGAGTTACCACAACCAAAAAGGAGTTCCTTACCTGTGAAACTGTTCAAATAAATTCCGTGGTAAAAAATTCAATAAAGTATACCTAGTAGTCCGTATTTTGTTATTCATGTACAGTTTTGATACTTTTTCATACTCTTCTTTAAAATGTCCCAAACAGGGTATCACTATCCTATGTTTGCCAGTAGTTTTTGATGGCTGATAGTACTTGTTACTTGAACTGTTGCTGCTGCATTCTCTGCCCTCTGTTGGTATCAGTCGCTGCCAGCGGTATCGGGCCCAGCGGATGGGATCTGCCATTTCTGCCACCTGAAACACTTTATAGTCCAAGGAGAATCATCTCTCTAGAAATGTTTGAAAATACAGCAAGTCACACAACAATTCTATAAAGGCTTTCAACAAAAAGTCACAGCTACAGTTTTGAATGAGCCTAGGGAAAAAAGTAATTTTCATAATGAACCCAACCCAGAATGTTAATAGGTTATGTAAGGTCAGGAACTTCTGCTTCAAAGATTGAATTTATCTGAATTTCATCAAACCTTTCAGAATTCTATAATTTGATTACTCTGTTTAAAATGCACAATATTTTTGTAACAGAAGTCCACCCACCTGTTTCTCATGCTGTAGCATGGTGCAAAAAGGCAGACAAGCTGCTAATTGTGCAGAGAACAGCATTTTGAAAGGAATCCTCATCTCAGACACTGCAGTCCATGCTGATGGTTAACAAACCTTTTTAAACTCAGAAGTCAATAATCTAGTAATATGCATCTGAATAGAGCCTTAGACACAAAGTGAGGACTTGCCAGTGAAAGGCACTAAGTAGCTATCATCAACCAAACTTCTTCCAGTGAATTAAAGAGGTTTGAGAACTTTTAACAACTGACAGAGGATTAATAAATTTCATGCCAATGCTTCAACTTTATCCACCTAGTTAAGCTCTAGCATTCTACCCAGGAATTTGTTTTCCTACAGAGAGCCAAAGTTCATAGTTATAGGTGATACTCACTTTTAGCTGTATGTGCTGCTCACTTTATCAAATCACCCAATGAAGTCAGAAAAGGCCTCTTGCACAAACCATCCTTTAGCAGAAGCTCAAAAGTGCTGTTTTTTATAACAATTTTTTTACAATTTGAAAGTTTTAACTAGTGGTTGCTACATTTCTTGTATTACTTCTTCCATAGAACAGTTCATCATACATTTTTTTAAAACTATAAATTGCACAAGCCAAAATCAGTACTTCTCGCTTCAGATACCATCTGGTATCTTACTACCTGCATAGACTCTAGCAAAATTTTTGACTAAAACCTCTTGCTAAATTCCCACACAAAAGCTGCTTCTGAAAGTTCTAAAACTTGCTGCATTTTCCTAAAGGAAATCTCTTTACAACAGACTCTCCTGTGTGGTTATCAAACTAATCCTGACTTGGGTTTCAGTCAATTCAAGCTTCTGTTCATGTGGTATCTTTCTCTTCTACTGACAAATGCCACTCTGTCCTGCTCAGATTGCTTCAAAATGTTGCTCTAAATTGTAATTTTCCAAACTATCAACTTGACTATTTTATCCAGACTATCTTCTTGGACATATCTTCCTTGATTCTTCTATTACATCTGCAGAATTCATGACACGAGCACAGTGCCCTCACCAGATCCTCTGAAAACTGGGTAATATTAGTATTTCCACATCAACCCATTCTGTTCTGAAAAAGGAGATTCTTCAAACTTCGTAAAAAGCCAGGATGTCTGTGGCACAGCTAGAAAGCTTTTCTCTAATGTTTATCTGGCCTTTTCATCTCATCAAATTAAGATGGGACATTTTTGTCCCATCACCATTAGCTGTGGATAGCTATCGACTGTCATGGTGTCTGGGAAGACTGGAACCATGTACATGAAAATCATGTTCTTTAGAAACCATGAACTGCACATGAAAGAGAGGAAAAAACCACCAAAACCTCTATACAGCATTTCCCTGCTGTGCTTCCAAGGCCCTTCTGCAGGGCTGCCGCAGGCATCAAAAGGGATCAGTCTAAGGAAAAGGCTTTCCCTTTTTTCTCAGTCCTAAACCTTGTGGTCCCAGTAATCATCAGACTATCAAAGGTTGCAAGAGAATGCAGTTATGTCTGGTACTTCTTAGAGAGCAAGAAAGAAGAGATTGTGAAGATTTTTTAAAACACATGGCATCCTCTTATTTTCACACAATGTGGCATCGTCTATCCTTGCTTCTTCTAATCCTGCTGCCTAGGAGACAGTTCCCAGAGGGATTGCCCTCTGCATAGAGGTTACTGTGCCATTTCAGTCAGGGTCAGCCTTTCCTCCAGAAATGGGAACTGACATTTAGAAGCAGCTGCTTCACACCAATGAATCACTTTAAATGTATGGCTACCATACAGTCATACATATGAACACTGATCTGTACACACATGAAAGAGATGCTCCAGCTAACTTACACTGAGCCTGAGAACAAGTCTAAAGATTGAAAGGTCTTCAAACTGTTCAGGGACTGCAGAACATACTGCTAGTGGAGTCCATACATGACTATGCAGATTTCAATACAAGTAGAGCTCCCAAACTCCCAAATTAATATAGACTCACTCATCTACAAAAGTCAGGACTGAATTAAAGAACCAAGTACTAGAAATTAAAGAATTTTAAAAGATGACGGGCTGAAAAGAGTTAGGTTGTTTTTTTTTTCACGCAATCACAAATTTCGGCAGTTCAGCAATTAAAAAAAACCCCAAACTTCTGGATTTTGGATGACATCTTTAAGGCTTGGCCATTTTGAAGAAACAACAATTCTCCTTAATTTTCTCTGCTGTGAAAATTATTTTGTACAATGGAAGACCTTTTCAAATAAATGTTTGCTTTAACTAAAACTAAACTGGATTATCAGGGAGAGTTTTACCATAATTTCTTCTTTTAAATTTACCAGACTCCTTCAAGCTTTCATCTTCAGCATGAATCATACAGGGTGTGTCAATTAACCACACTTTTGCCCAATAATCTGACATATCTCTACTCACTGTTAAAGTGTACAATGACATAGGAGCAAACTTTAGTAAGTAAATGCCAGGAAATTTCACAAGTTACCACCAGCCAGATACCTGAGAGCAGGTTACATTTGTATGAAAACAAACATGATTTTCACTAAGACCAGTGAAAAAAACATCTGATACTGTTAAAGAAGGAAGGAACTCTATCTTGACCTCCCAGGGCTAATGGGAATGCAAAAGCTTAAACAGGAAATCCTGTTCATTCAGCAAAAATTATGTAGGCAAAATAACCTACACAGCTAAAATACACCCCATAAATTTCAAAACTTTCTAAATTCTAAGTAGTTTTGGCTTACATAATCTATTATCTTTTCTAGCATTTGATACTCAGTGACCACCATTTTTACAAGATAAAGCAGTTGGGAAAGCAGGGAGGATGAGCACTGAACATTTTAACAGGACAGCATGTTAAGAAGGAATTCCTCACCACTAGATGAGGAGCTAATAGTTTAAACTGCATATGCAATGTCGAAGAGCAGTCACCCCCCACCACATACATCTCTCTGACTCCTAACACAGCTCCAAAACTGCCCCACCCTTCCTCAGAGAAGCAGAGCTTAGAAAGGAACAGGAAACATCAGATTCAGTTCCGTGCACTGCATGTTTTTGTCAGTATCTCCAGTGTTCTAATGTAACTACGTCTAAGAAAACTGAAGATTGTAGGGATGAGAAATAACAAACACAATCCCACAGCACTGGAAACACTGTATGAGAAATAACAAATAATCTCCTATGATCAGAGAGGTGAATCAGACAATTAACACATCCTGGGAAAAAAGTATCTGCATCTCATCCTCTGCCATAATGCCCTCTGACTCACCTGGGATTTGACTGAGCTACTACTTTGCAAATTTATTTTTTCAAATAATTTGTATCAGAATTTTAAAATAGCACTTTTGATGTTCCAAATAAACCTCTTTTGCATTTCTTAACTCAATTTTGAGTAATTTTATTCTTCTTCCACAATAAATTTGGTTCATAAAGTATTGAACACATTTTCTGTGGTCAGAAGGAGTTTCATCAGCTTCATGTTAGACAATTGAGAGGATTAAGTCACCAAAGATCAAATAAACGCTATTTTAAAATCTTTTTCTGAGAAATTAATTCCCTTAAAACATTATTTGACCTTCTTGTCATGTTATTTTTCATAGCCAAGTTTTGAGTTCCCCAGCTAATGTGAACTCAAAGTAGAAATACAAAACAGCAGGTATTTCTGGAAACATTGGCAAATGATCTACAAGATGTGTTACTCTGAAGCACTATTTTTAGAAGTTAATTTCTAAAAAATATGTTTATGTTTAAAACCCCCAGGAATAATGTTCATGTATTTGAAAACAGGAAGCCTAAATGATCACATGCTAACTTTTGAGGACAGCCTCACACATGCTATCCTGTCCTCCTTTTCACACTACACACTGTTCAAGTAAACACTCTTGGTCTTGCTAAATGGAAACAGCTGATACAGAGGGATTTCAGGTATGTCTTACACTCAAAAAAGGGAAGTTCTTGTAGTAGGCTTACTAACTGTTACTAACATAGTGATAATGATGAAATGTGGAAGGGAATTAGATGACACTGGATTTGTTTGCTTTCTTGCTCTTTTTCTACACCAGTTCCTTCATGTGCTCTGATTCTTTCTTCTTCTTATAGCGCACTTTGAGATATGAAAAACTGGAGGGACCAGATATGGTTAACATGACATAGCTGCCTGTCATACCTTTGTAAAAGCAAGGCACAACAGCATCATTTTTACCACAGGACAGGTCAACACTATACACTCTCCATGTTTGACCATCCTATATCACAACCAAAACAGTCTTTGAGAACTCTCTGCCAGTGGTAATGCTGAGAAAACCCCCACTTCTAGAGTCTGTACCCTGGAAGAAGGGCCTTGCATCACAAAGCCCCATGTAAGCATTCTCTTGTATGTGTATTTCATGTCTATAAGTTGTTTTCTTTCCCCATCACTTCCCTTCCACTTTGTAAAGTCTTTTGTAAATTCTGTCAGCTTCCAATTCTGTGAAGTATCACCTGCATATCTGCATGCAATCCTTTACTCCGAGCTTTCCTGGCGGGGGATGGAGCTGACACTAAAAATTCCTTCATTCCAGTTATATTATTGGTAGCCTTTGGCAAATCACTTCCTGATCTCTCTCATAGTAGATAATTTCTTAAGATCATCAGCAGAACAGATGTGCAGATAATTTAGCCTACGTTGATCCTGCTCTGGAAGTGCACCTTACTATTATGCTGTGGTCATTTGCTCACATGTCACGTGAAGTGCCTTACCACTCAGCCTGGCTTCTCCTAACCACTTCCTCCCTTCTGACAACATCCTTCTCTTTTGCTCTGACCTCCAAATAATTAGTCCTCATTTTTCATTCAGAAAATTCTTTGTTAAATGCACTTGGTAAATGACATATTTCACAAGAATGTTCCCTAGACCTTTGACACATGCATGCTTATGGTGTGTGTCTCTATCCTGCTGCTTCTCAGGCACTGTGCAATAGCCTTCATCGGGGCTAGTTTCCAGGAGGAAGGAATAAATCAATTGTTGGCAAACAGAAATGCAATAAAAAAAATTCATTATCTTACCTGAAAAATTTCTACAGCACCTAGAAGGGAAGTAACTCAGACAATGGATCTCCTGCTTAGGTCTGAGGTTCTGGGTGACCAGGGAATATAAAAAATGCTATCTTAGATGGAAGTCACACTACACAATGGGGAAGAGTGGATCATCCCCAGTCCACACAACAGTCCTATTTAAACCTCTTAGCAAGTGTTACTGCACAGGTTCACTACACTACTCTACACTAGCACTTTCATCACTACACTGACAGAACTATACAGGCTGAATGTTAAAAACTCCTGTTAATCATCTTTCAAAACTCATAAGCTAGCAGAAAATGAAGAACCTTCAGGGAAGCAGGGCCTGAAGATTAATTTATACTCTGAAGAACAAATACTTCTTTTCTCCTTAGGTTTTATGCTTTCTCTGTAACATGCAATTTCACAAATTTGTCACACATTTGCAAGCCAATAGGAAATCTGCTAAGACATTCTAATATGCCAAATAGATCTGGATAAAAGACTTTTGCTGTCAATTTATGGGGCAAACAGCCAAAAATCTGCAGGAATCAAAACTTCAAATTTAGAAAATAATGTGGCCATTTGCAACCATATATTCTGAGATATATCTACAAAAGAGATATAAGAATTCTTGAATTAAGAATGGAAGGCAGATGTTAGTATGAAAAATCAGTTGCTGCGGTACTATTTTGCCATGCACTCCTACCTACAAAGTCTTATTTAGCACAGGCAACACTGAAACCTTGCAAGCCTTGAAAAGCCTTGGATCTTAGAAAGGAAATTTCTTAGTTATGGGTATTTTAAGTCAGCCATCAACAGCTCTTCACAAATTAAAAACAACCATCAGGATGCAGTAAAACCCAAGAAATGCCAAGGCCATGACACAAAGATGGATGCAAGATAATTTAATAGTAAACCATGCAGTAATACTGGTTAACATACTACAGTGTGGGAGCAGAAAAATACGAAGCAGTATAAAAGCAGAAAATCTCCTTCATCTTGGGTAAAGTTATTTAGGATGCCAATCAGATCTTCTACCGACGGACAGAACCAAACCACACACTAGCAAATTTTAGGGTTAAATTGATGAAATATTTTTAAAATAAAATAACTGCTGAAGAGTGATCATCTGTGAAAATATTTTACATCCCTTTTTTCCATCAGAAAAGTTCTCCTTTATGCCGTGTTCTCATGCACCACATTGGTCTCAAAACTGTAAACCAAAACCTTACAGTTTAAATCTTACTCTTTTATGACTGTCTTTCCACACAGATACACCTTTAGCTTATGGTCAGGCAGCATTTAGTCACTACAGATGCTTTGCTATGTGTGAAATGTACATGAATTTCACAGTAAGACTAAGGTGTGGACCATATTAAAAATTTATACTGGTGTTCATGTAATGCAGAAGAATGTGATTTTTTTTTTCTTTGTACACTCCCTATGCTATCATAAATACTTTTAAGAGAAATTGAGCCATATTGGCAGTATTGCTGGTTTCTAAAGGGCCAAAACTCTTTTGTGTAGGTAAGGTCTAGTATACTCATTGAAATTTATACTGAAAATACCTATTAAAGCAAGAAAGTGTACTTGAGTTCCTAAAATCCTAGATTAGGTTTCTGACTATTTTTTTCTATTCTTCTGGTTTTCTAAGACACTTACATAATCAGGTACTCAAAAGTTCCATAAATTCCCAAGGCACCCACTGAGGATCTCAGGTCTAATGCTACAGGGTTAGTGAATTTTTGACAAAACCAACTCTTGTAAGACCTCAGGAAGACAATCAGATTTGCCACAGAGCAATAAAATCTGCCTACTGCTTGGGGATATATTGACAGGAATAACCTGTGAATCCACTTTAACCACTAGAGACTTCCTGTAAGGCTATAAAACATACTGTTGAGATGTTATTTCAAACCTGAAAATGAGAAGTAACCTACAGCAATTGAAGGCTCAACTACAAATGTGTATCTTTAAAGTTTTTATTAATAAAAATGAAGCCAAAATATATAGAAGCCTAAAAACAAAATATGCAAGGAGTTAAGAATACTGAAATTCTGACCCTAGTAACCCTAAAACTATGTAAGACACTAGATTATGACTGCTGTGAGCAGCTGAACTGAGTTAAAACTTAACACTGAACAGAATTGTTCTCACTTCTGCCTTCCACTCCTGGCTCAGTCAACTCCTTCATAATGAGTCTGGTACTTACAGAACCTGGTTCTCACTGATCTGCAAGACCTTTTACTAACTCAAAGACAGTAACATCACTGGATTTCCCAATCCATCATTACAGCTGTGAAAGTACTCATGCTGGCACAAGCAAGGTGGGATAGGAATGTCTGATTAGAGAGTATCTTTGAGTACTCATGTAGAGCACTTGGCCCTAATTGCAGTCTAGTTTTCATTAGAAACATCTATCAGCTCTGGTTATTGCCTTTGAAATTCAGGTCATCCAGGGCAGTGGCAATTAACAAAAGAAAGTGATCCTCATCTGTCAGTCCTCCTGTAAGCAGTAAGTGCCCACACACCAACTGTAAAAATTCAGTTTAAACAATGGCTTCAGACCTAACCCTAACCCCTTCTGCGTGACTCCCTTTGGAGTCACACAGAAGAGCTAAGCTAATTCAATTCCACTCCAATCCTAGGTAAACCACTTAGCGTCCTCTCTTCTGGAAACCACCACTAATGAAAACAAGAACAATGACAACTCTGTTAACTTTGGTGATGATATGAAGATAGCCATATTTTTAAAATAAGAGGTCTGTCAACACTAGGATCACTGGGGAGATATAAATACCCTGTAAGTATTGCTTTGTAAGTATTAAAATAATAGTAATTTTGATATTAGAAGTGCACCTTTCTTCAGTAGCTGCCTTTCTGATATGAACTTGGATTATTCTTCTCCATCTTTGTGAATACTTTGCATTATTAAGTCCAGTAACTACTGCTGCGATCCCATCCTGCGAGTGAACACGTGCACTCTGCACCCCTCCGTACTTTCCTGGACTTTCAGGAATTTCCCTGTGACTTAAATGGACTTAAATCTACGTCCTTGCCATGAATCTGCGAAGTAGCAAAAAGCTGACCCCTCAGTCACCACTGTGAACTATTAAATTATTATTATTATTATAAAAGACTTTTGTTTCTGGAGTGAAAGTCGAGGAGATTAACATACGCAGTGGCGGGGCGGTGGAGGTCGCTCGTGGCCCAGGGGAGATTTAAAACCATAAACCCACAAATGGTCCTTTTCCAGCGCCGAGCTCCTCGGGGGCCGCTCGGTGCCGGCAGCGCTCTCGGGCCGGCGGGCGGGCTGAGGGGAGCTCCCCGCGGCCGCCGCTTCCGCGTCTGCCCCGCCTCGGCTCGGCCCCGGAGCCCGGCACCGCTGTCCTCCCGCACCGCCACCCACGCACCCGACCCCACGGGCGAGCTGTCCCCCTGAAACCGCTCCGGACTTACCGAGGGAGCCGCGCACATCCCCGGGAATGGCCGCGCAGCCGCCCCGCCCCGCCGGTGCTGCCCGGCCCCCGCCCGCCTCCGCCCCTCCGCCCCTCACCTGCCCCCGCCAGCCTTTGGCCGCTCGTTCCTTTCGCCCTTTTCCCTCTCTGATCCTTCTCCGCCGAGGAGTGACTGAGGCGGGACCCGGCGGCCCGAGCTGCGGCCGGGGACCCTTCCAAAAGCGGCTCCTCCGCACGCCGCAGGGCTCGGGGTGAGGGAGCTTTGCTCTCTGCCATGGAGTCTGTGAAAAACGCCAGTCACTGGCTTTTGGGATTTTAATAGTAATAAAATGGTTATAAAAATAGTAATATAATTAGAGTAATAAAAATTTGAACAATTGAGATTAGGACAACACGAGACAATAAGAACAAACAGTTACGGACCTCCGGGTACCTTTTTCTGGGCAAAATAAGCCCGAAAAAGGACACCCCTTAACAGAGGATGAACCCTTAAAAACAACAGCTTGTTGCATATTCATACATTTCATACTTGATGCATAAATTCCATTTAAACAAAGGAACCTCTCTCGTCATCATCAACTTCTTCCTCTTAATCCTACCGGCTCCTTCATGGCTGAGCAAGGCGGGAAGAAGTTCGTATCTCCCGATAAAAGAGCAATAAATTCTCTTTCTCTGAAAGATTTAGGTGTCCTGTGGCTGCTGTCTCGGTGCGAGTCCTCTCTTTAAAAAAAAAAAAATCTTACATAGCATAGTTTCTATTTTAACATTATGTTATAACCTAAAACTATATTTAACACACTACTTAAGAAAATAAATACAGCATAACTTTCTGACATAACACATATAATATTAATTTTAATATTTGATTATATGATTAATTAACATATTAATATGATTAATATATGATTGGCGAAAAGCCAATCATAAAATACCCATTTTTCACAGAGTCCATGATGCTTAGTTAGTTATTGTTTAAAGGTTTGGTTTTTTCTGTGCCTTAAGGCCTCGGCAGATGGAGTTTGGGGTAGGGTATGACTGTCACAGAACTTGACACCCTTGTGTCGTAAGGGAAAGCTTGACACCAAGCTCGTAGGGGAAACTGATGTTCTTACTTTTTTACAGTCATTTACAACACTGAAGGCAGCTTGGCCTGTCTAAACATAAATTTTCTAGCCACTGGGCTAATCTAAGTTAGCAAACACTTCCTCTTGTTTTTTAGGAAGTAAGCCTCTGGCTATTGAGAAACTGCCCAAATTGCCTTAAACAAATCACTGCCATCAAGAACCTCAGTGAGTTTTTCCATCAATAACCCTTGTGAAATCCCACATTGTCCTTTTTGATCTTACTGCCTTCCAGGGTACTCTTGAAGGCTGCCTCTTCCAATGAAATCACATGGCCTTTTACATGAAAGTGAGAGGACTCCTGATTCCAGACCATCTTCTGCCGGAAAAGAAAGAAGAAAAAAATCCACCAGGAAATATTATTTGTAGATCTCTTGGTCCCTGTTGAAATAGACTGAAATTACCAGTACTTGTCCAGTGTCAACAATGAATTCTTTGCAGAGAGCTGGGAGGGCTGTGCTGAGCAGTGGTACTCAGTTGTGCTCTCCTTCCCATCTATGTGCATGGTGTTGTCTTCCACTGTTTCCTGCATTCTAGCATGTCCAGCACCCCTGACCACACGCTGAAAACATTTTGGTTACATTCAGTGAACAGCTGCTGATGGTCTGGTCTCTGGAGTGCCCATATGGCTAGTGGAAATTTCAAAATATATTGGCATGTCAGCTGGAATAAAAATTCTACATGAAGGAAGCCTGTAACTACTGCCTTGAAATTATACAGGTTCTTCTTGGCAGAAAAATATGTGGAGTTCTATTTCTTTGCAGGATCTACCACCTTTGCTGGCTCAGGTGCTGTAGGAAAGGGGAATGAACTCTGGGGAGGGCAGAGCAAGCTGCTGCAAGACACGAGGTGGTAGTAGGCTTTGCCAAAACCCAGTTACTTTAAAGTGATTTAACCAGGTAACATTGATTTATTGGAACATTCAAGTTGGCAGAGATGTTTGACAAAGAAGAGAATATCACACAGCTTGTCACCAACCACAGCTACTGTAATCCCATTGCAACCGTAAATAATTAATATCCAGAGTCTTACGTTTCCCATTCATTTTTTTCATGCATGACAGTCCATTCTTTAAGCCTGCAACTATGAAAGGCATTATTTTGTTTGCCTTGTTTGTGCAGCAATAACAATTGCCTCAATTAGGCCTCTACATCAGAAATGCATGCAAAAATACCTGACCAAGCTGTAAATGAGCCACCCTGGCTGCCAGAAAGAGCACAGCTGCCTTAGTGCAGCACTCTGTGCACTTTAATTAGATGTGTTGAAGCAGAGCATGTGAGCTGTTTGGAGAGGCAAGGCTGATCAGGTGAGTGGGAGGCATTGCTGACTCCTGACTTGGCCATTACATACACGTTTGCACTTTTATCCTTCTGTCCAATTGTTCAGTAGTATGAATGGTCTTGATTCCAGGCATGCAAAGCAACCATCCAGCACGTCTGAAATGTAATTAAATTGCCTTCTCCCAGGTATCCTATGGAAAAGTAACTACAAAGACCATAGTCACCAGAGATAATGCTTGATTGAGAAATCTTACTGATAGCTTTACACTGAACATCCTCCACACAGATATATCCTTTTTTTGTTTCCCCAGAGATCTGCAGGTGTTTTTATATCACCTCCTGAACCGCCACATGGAAAAGGAAAACTTCGAAATTCAGATCATCCAGGGCAGTGGCAATTAACAAAAGAATGTGATCCTCACCTGTCAGTCCTATGTTTTGCTCCTGTAAACAGTCAGTGCCCACACACTACCTGTAAAAATTCAGTTTAAAACAATGGCTTCAGATCAGCTTTAGAGTCACACAGAATTAAATTCCACTCTGATCTTAGTGTCACTAAGTGCCCTCAACCACTTAGTGCCTTCTCTGCTGGAAACTACCACCAATGAAAACAAGAATAATGACAATTCTGTTATCTCTTGGTGATGATATGAAGACAAGTATGTTTTTAAATAAGAAGTTTTTCAACACTTTGGTCATTGATGAGATGTGAATACCCTGTAAGTATTGCTTTTAAGTACTAAAATAATTTTGATATTAGAAGTATATTTTTCTTCAGTAACTGTCTTTCTTACAAGAACTTGGATTATTCTTTCCTATCTTTGTGAATACTTTTCATAACTAAATCCAGTAACTATTATCATGGTCCAACCCTCTAAGTGACCATGTGTGCTCTGCACCCCTCCATATTTTGCTGGAGTTTTTCTGGAGTTTCCTGATATTAGTCCAATGACACAAGAGCTGTTGATGACTCCAGAACAGTCACAGAGCTCTTTGTGTATTTCTAACCCTCCATCTGTTCATGGCTGCAATAACTCTGCAAGTACAAGCATGAACAACTCAGCCTGCTGTGCTCATACAGACACTATCTGGGATACATGAGAGGAACTCGTGAACTGCCAGCTAAACATGTTGGCAAACTGAAAACTTTCCAATGAAGACATGAAAGGAAGAGGGAAATTTGCCATAGCATGCTATCAAACATTTCCCAGAGCATCTCAAGTTGATGGAATGTGAAAACCTGGGTATGATTCTTCTCTGGGAGAATCTCTTCCCCAGAGGAGAATCATACCCACTGATGATTCCAGTGCCAAATCCACATAAATAGCAGTGCCAGGGGGGATTTGGGGTTGTAGACATAGATGATTATCATGACTGCAGTGTAGATGCTCCCACATCAGCTTAGTGCTTTCATATGAGGTCAGTGGATATACTGGAGAGATCCAGTGTGTATTTACAGGTAAACAGTGACATATTATGATATCTACTCTAGTTCAAATACATTTGAAGATGTGGTGGCATGTTAATAATAACTTATAGCCAGAAAGAGATTTTGTTACTATCCAGTAATGTCATGATGTTTTTATTTCCTTAGCTCTGCAGTAAATGCAAATAATTTAACCAAAGCAGAGATTTAAAAAAAAAAAAAAACAACCTTGAATTTTAAATTACACTGAATTATTGTTTGACAGATCATTGGCTGATAAACATGTGTTTAGAGTCCTAAGCAATGCTGACAGAGCAAATTAAAGCAATCTGTTGTGCTTATCACTAAGGTAATTTCCTACAAGATCATCAGATGTATCTCTTGGCAGGACCCCTGCAAGGCAGATACACAGTGAACAAACAGCTGTTTATCTGCTCTAGTTTGTGTGTGGCCATAGCCTTTATTTACCACACACTGTCTAGATCTGTACTGGTTTATTGATATCTGTGTGAGGAGATTGTTTTTATCACTTGAGTGAGCATTTTATAAATAATGAATCATGAATTTTCCTTCAATTTTCCTGCTCCCTGTGAGACAAGAAGGTATTACCACTTTCAGGTTACAAATGAAATTGGTATAAGGGAGAATAAGCACCACAAGATGAAAGTGTTCACTAGTGAATCTGAGTCTACATGCTCAGTTTGAAAGATTGAGCATTTGTTTTAATATTTTATCATACAAGATATATTCAATGTAAATTATATACGTTTCAAAATCTTAAAGGAATAGAATTGTATGTAAATATTATTGTGGGAACTTTCCTGAAAGGCACTTTCAGGGTCATTAAATCCTTGTAATTGCAAGCATGCCATACAATCTGTTTCATAAATTGACTGAATTTTTCTAGAACTAGTTAGGTATTTTGTTCATATTACTGTACTAAAAAAATTGCCCCAGAGTTTGGTTGCTGTGAGGGTTAAGAATTATCAATTTCTTACCCATTTGCTCATATACTTGCAGTGACTACTGCTTCCATGAAATCATTCTTTTTGTTCCTGGTGTTTATCAATACACCTTTGTTTTGCTAAAGTAAACCAGATAAGAATGAATCATATCAAACTGACCAAAGGCTAACTAAATTTCGAATAAAAGTGTAATGCAGTTTAATAATCTATTCAGACCTTAGTTAATGTTGGATAAATTGCTGTGACATAGCTTGTGTAGACAAGTTTTAAGGGAATAACTGACTAATACTCTCTCATGTAATCCTCATGCTTTGCCTTTGATTTATACCATCAAGTTTAGGCAACTGCATAATGGAAGGAATCAGGAAGCTGGCATTAGGTGCCAGTTCTGGAGAGCAGTTATTAATAGGCAGTAGCAGTTATTTTTATTGGCACAGGACTTATTGATTGTCACTCATTGTGGTTTGGCATTGTGTGTATTAGGAACTTCCATCCTGAAAGCCACTAAGATGAGATTTATTGTTCTAGAGATTTTCATCTTATCCATTCTGCAGAAAGTAATTATCAGCTGGAATTTAACAAGGAATCTGAAGGTCTTTCACTTTTAAGAGGCTCTGAATTAACAAGACAAGCAGAAAATAATTTTAAATGAGATACTGTCAGCTTACTGCATCAGGAATGTACCTCACGTCCTGACATTTTTACTTTATCCATTAGAGAAGCTGAGGTGGTAGTCTACGGGGAGACTTAAGCTTCTGACAATCCATTTTCACTCCCCGTGAACTAACACAGGCCCATTGACTGTAAGAAGACACAAAACTAACCCTAAAAAAGGGAACACCACGTAATGCTGACACTTGTGGACTGATAGAAAAGTGTGTGTGCTTGGAAAGCAGTTCTAGCTAAGTGGAATTGCACATAGGCAGATTGATGCACTTGGAAAATTGCTTTATTCCTTCTTTTTGTGTTTACTCTGATGTGGCAATTTCCCATGGCTAATCTTCAACATATCTATCTAATTTGTCATTAGCTGGTTTACACTGTTACAGTGTAATAGTGTGGCAAAAGACTTTTGATATGCACTTAGGATATGTACTTATGTGCCTTCCTTTCCATTGTGTATAGAAGCAAGATGACTTATTGAATTCATCTATCTAACTTGTCATTAGTTGGTTTACACTGTTACAGTATAATACTGTGGCAAAACACTTTTGATATGCATTAGGATATGTACTTATGTGCCTTCCTTTTCATTGTGTATAGAAGCAAGATGACTTATTGAATTTATCTGCTCCACAAATAACCTTAATTCTACACTTTCTTTTTATCAAATCACTTTATCAGCTAACAAAAGGACTGAGTCAGTGATATCAAATGAAATATTTAGTAACTGCTGGTTTTTTTCTCTCTTTGCTTCCATAAAGTTACTGTCTGCATTGTAATATTTTTCAAGTGTTTTATTCCTATTAAAATTTTCTACAATTTTTCTAACACAATTTCTGCTGGACAGGCACTCCAACCTGCCAAGCAAATTTTGTCAATATTCTAACTTAACTAGTTATGCAACAATTACTATATCAATTTCTTGAACAAATAAAAATAATCCAGCAGATAGATATGAAGATACCACTCAGACTTTTTGATTCTCTTAGGTGTTTTTCACAAGGGAAAATCCAAGGCTGGTTTCCCATAAACTAACTTTCCTTCCTAATTTAAGGTTAGGAAACCTAGTATCAGATTAAAAGTGTCCACAAGACATCACACTGAAAAAATCTAATGTTTATGGTTCATGTATAGTTAAACATTTTTGAAGGTGAAACTTTGCCCCAGCAAACATTATATCTGGTCATTTCACCTTCCAGAGCCTGTGTAAACCAAGATAAAGTCTAAACAAAGATGGACCAATTCTGAGACAAATCACAAGTATGGCTTTAGCTAACTTGGAGGAAATGTTACCACATGGGTGGTTCTGATTCACTTGGTGACCCCAGAGCATCAAGATCCAAGAAGAATTAACGAAAAGCAATACCCATGATAAAGACAAGAGAGATTTATACTTTCACAGGTATTGTAGGTCAAGTTCAAATTTAGAAGAAAGATCAGGGTTTACTTGTAACCTGCACTATGTGACAATATTAAACCAACTGCTCCTTGCTAGAACTTTATGTCTTATAAATATAATTTATGTCATTGTAAATAACATAAGGAAAAAAAAACATGTCCCTTTTTCAAGTGAACAATTTATATTTTCTCCTTATTTTGCCTTTATAAGTAGAAGAATTATTTGAGGAAAACTAGGAAAATTAACATAATTGTAATTTTTCTGGTTTAAGTTGCTCATTATTTCTCTAGAAATATTCTCCAAATTGTGAAATGAAAATTTCTCACTACATTCTTTATTGTGTCAGCTGGAAGAAGAAGTAGGTCATATTTTCACAATGCAAAAAAAATTTCTAGATAGCTCTTCTCTAGAATTTGCACGAGAGCAGTTCTAAATTATAGTAAATGTCAGCTACTTTATTGAAAATTAGAAATACCTCTGCTGATGTAAAAACATCAACCTGTTGAAAACTTGGTGTGAGCAAAATAGTAATCAAAATACCATTGTCACCCACATAATAAGATTCATTATTTTATTCATTATTCCTACAGCAATTTTTACCATTCATTATTACAATAGCAAAGCTTATTTGTATGTAGCATTTTCCTATGTACAAAACTCTTGCATTTGTGCATGCACTAGAGGACTTCCAGACTTTTTCAGATGGCTGGTAGTATTTTTTTGGAAAATTAGAACATGGGTTTTTTTTGTTTTTGAACTGAGAGAAATTACACATAGGCAAGCTGAGATGTTTGGTTTGATACAGTGTCTTATTCATCAGCGACTAAGGCATGAGAAAATTTCCAATGTAAAAAAGTGCCTCTCTTCTTTTTGTGCCTTTGCTAATTTGAGACACTGTCAAGATTAAAAAAAAAAGAAGAAGAAGCAAAAAAAGGGGAATTGCAGTAGTATGATTCAAAGCACAATTTGTTGCAGGAGCCATGAAGGTCATGGGTTGTGTGGTCATACAACTGCAGCAAGAGTTAGCAAAGTTTGAAAAGCTGGTAAATATGCAGGAGCTGTCCAGGACACTGACAACTGCTTCTAAAAATCTAGTTTTCAATATAAAGCTTGAATAGTCAGTTAGCTTTGAGAGAAGGTGTTGCTTTCATAGTATTTATTTTGCTATCTTTTGGAGAAGCCTATTAAATTGATATTTCCCATGGAAAAGACAAGAGCACTAGGAAGCAGAGATGGGAAAATGCTCTGTATTATTTAGAGACCACAAAGAAGTCCAGAAAATCTGGGTAATACAATGTGCTGCCAAGCTGGACACAGACTGACAATACTGAGAAAAACTTATAAATCACAATCATTTTGTGTGGAATTCCTGGGAGGAAGTTGGCTTTATTTACCCCTGGAGAGATTTAGTCAAAAAGCACTGCTGTGCCTCACTATGGATGCATCTGTATACAAACTGGTTTTTCTTAGTCTGTCAAAATTACCTTCTCTTTATATGCCCTTGGTTTAAACAGCCTCTGTCAGCAGAAACAGAGTATTGCCAGTGTAACTTCCACCAGCTGCTGTTTTCTTTTCATTTCAAAATATGATGTGATAAAAATAAAATTCATAGCAGCTGTAATAGTAGCTCTCAACTCAGAGTTGTACAAACCACAAGAAGTCCTAGTGTAGATGAGATGTTTGTAGTGGGGTGTTTATCATTTTAGGAGTACTTTCTCCCCACTGCTATTATGACATGTTGGTACAGCTTGCTATGCAGCATTTCCAGCATCTACTAATTGTTGTTTACTACTAGGGTTAAGAGTCACCATAATCTACCTACTGGCCATTTTCTTTTCTATTTTATGATGTCCAAAGATTTTTGAAAAGCACCAACACATTCCTACCATTTATTATTAATACTGAAATCTTAAGGTTGGGCTTGGAAAAACAAGAGCATAATTGGGCTTAGTTTTACTACATCTACCCTAAAAGGGATTGCTAATTTTCTGTTGCTGTCATTATGAATTCCAGACATTTCAATCATTAGACCTGAACATTGTAAGTAAAATCCCAGTCCTGATGTGTACCTGGTCTTCAGTTCACCTAGAATTTTGCTTAAAAATGAAGAAAGGGACATAGAAGGATAGAAATGGTGACAATAGATTTTTCCTTATAAGATGGTATCAGTAGAGAAAATAAAAATAAACTTTCTGCATGTTCCCTGAGCATGGGATAAGAACTAAAGGGTCTGAACTGTAGAAAGAAGAGTTAGGAGAATATTCATAATATTCTTGTAGGATGGAAGATAAAGACTCCTCCCTCTCCAATTGAAGCTTATGCAAAGAAGTGTATCCTGGGGACAGGAGAGGAGAGGCAGGGTAGGTCTGTAGTGCCCAGCTGCTTACAAAAGATGGTGACCAGTGGCACTCATGAGCAGTCTCAGCCACTGACTCCAGTTTGTCTTCTGAGCCGTTGTTTTAGTGGGTATGTGATTCAAGCCAACTACAGGCTCCTTAGAGTACTGAGGATGTCACTTTTCTAGTCTAAGCTATTCCTCTGCCTCTGTCCTGCAGAATACCGGGTGTGATACCAGCTCCTGGCCCTTCTGTTACCTCAGCCAGGCAGGCATTGAGAGGTACATAGAACAGATATTTTACAAACCTATGATATTAACTGATTTCAAGTAATACGTACACTATTTTTTTCCATCTGGTATCAAGTATGCTTGGAGTGTTTCCAACAATAGCACTTCCTCTCTCAAGATCTTACAGTGTAGCAGAGCTCTTTTGAATGATCTCTTCAGTCCGTGAAAGGCAGTACAGATTTCAGTGTATAAACTGTGACTCTAAGGGGTGTTGAACCACAGGAATGTTCCCTCAGACCTACTGCTAGTTCTTCAGTGCAGTCTGTGGCAAGGACAGAACTGCTACAGAAACCAACAAGATTATTTCGAAATATCAGTGAGAAGTGAATTCAAGAACATTTAAGAAAGTTCCTCTTGTTACATCTCTTACTGGAAAAAGGAGACATGATAGAGACAGGTGTAAAGCTGGGGACACAGACTGTATCCAGAGTATGCATGACACACTGTACTCCTCATGTTTCATGAGTATTGTATTTACTGAATAGCGACTGAGGGAAAGAACCAAAACTTCTCATGGTTTGCTATGTTTAAAATTTACAAGTAAAATGATTTGAGAAAGAGATTTGTCATTCAGAAGGAATTGTGATAATAGATTACGAACAGCAAATAGGTAAGAAAGTATGTTATGCACATCAGTGTCATGTCTCACTATGAACTTCACTGTCTCATCAGTGTAAAAATTAGAGATAACATTGTTTTCAATCTCCTTCAACTGCAGCATATCACCATCACCATGATTATATGTAAGCTTCTACAAAAACTTTCAAGATTCCTGGTTTAATAATTAAAGTTCACTGATTGATATTCATGTGTCAACCAATTTCATCTAAGTATGGGCTACCAGAAGGGGTAGTTTTGTCTTACCCTCAGTCCCAACTGCAAAGGTCACTTCTGTCAGAAGTGGTGCTCTGTTCGCAGTGGAAATCTAACCCATGGGAAAAAAAAAAAAAAGAATGCAAAAATAAAATTTATTTTCATCTACATCAGCTGCAGTTTCATCCTGCAGCCCCAGGCACCCTAGTGCAGGCATGAGGGTCGGGGAGAGGAAGCAGAGCTGCCAACAGGGATTAGGGAACCAGTGGGACCTCCTTCTCACAGCAAGCCATGTTTTGCTCAGCATAATCTCAACTGCAGTCTCAGTGTTTCCACTGCATTTAAAAAATGCCTTTACTGTCCTCTTTGTGTTGGTAAAATACACAGTTACCTTTTTATTTCTATTGGCATACCTGTTTAATAGTTCCTTTTGGGACACTTATACTGGTGCTTGGATATCCTCCCCAACTGGATATACTTAGAGCAATGTAAAACACTATCCTACTATATTATGTACACATTATGTATAGCAATTATTACATTTTATATATAATAATATATAATTATTACTGGATTGTTATGATAAAATGTATGTTACTATAATATTAATAACCTCTGGTTATTAAGTTATTTCCCAATGTTTTAATTATTGACATTCTTCCAAAACCAAGGGCAACAAATGGATTGATCTTAAAATGGCTTTAATTACTGTAGTTTAGCTTGTGGGTTTTCTTTACAAGCAAATAAACCCCCTACAAGTCATCAGCAATGTGGATAAAATAATATAAAGTTCACTCTACACTTTTCTGTCATAAAATTGCTTCTTTCCTTGCTGCTCTGAAATCCTGCCTATGTGCTTACTGTTCTACAAGTTTCCCTCCCTGCTTTTGTGGTTATTTGAGAGCTTAACCTCAAGGGATGGGGTGGGTTGTTACTGCTGTGGTACAGAAGCATGAAAACCAGGTATTTTTAAAGGTTAAGACTTGATGGCAGATCCAAATAATGCAGCTCCAAACAAAGTCCAAACTGCCAAAGGCCAGTTTTATATCCCCTACTTCCCTGCAGTTGAACATGAGCTCTGAAGGATGGATTTATAACCCAGCTGTGGTTTCCTTGAGCAGTCTGACTTTGCTCCTCATGGCCCAATAGGCTGAATCAAAAATATTACTTTTAAACGACATATATGTGAAAAAAATGAAAAGCGAAATTCTTTGTTCTTCAGACTGGGAAAAAAATTAGCTGCTTTAAAAATGTTCACTGGGATAGTGTTATGGGGGATGGCAGTTTTCTGTCCTCTTCTGTCTGTTCCTGTCTTCAGGCGTTACATCTTTGCTCTCTTCCATTTTTCACTTGTTTGATCCCTTTCACCTGAGTGGGATGCTCACTACCTTTCTCTTTATTATTAAATTACTTCATTGCAAGTCTGGATCATCCTCGTATTTCTCCTGTTGTCGCTGGTTTCAATTGTTTGGAGCAGACACTCCCCCTGGTGCTTTGCTTTGTAGTGCACAACACAGTACAGTCAGAATGGGTACTAACAAATAAAATTCTAGGGGAATAAAGGAAATTATTAATGAAAAAAAAATTTTAAATTTGAAATTTCATATACTCCTCATTTAAACAGCAGCTTTGAGTAATTTCTCCGTTTAAAAAATGAATAAATTTTCTTAAAAGCTTAATCTACTAGCAGTAGCAAACCCTAGAGAAAATGGGAGGAATTTGAAAGTTTTCAGTCAGCAAAACCTAAAGTCGGATCTTCCTCATATATTTCTTCAAAACTCCCATGCACCACCACATCAGTCCCACAAGGCCACATGACTGTCTGTGAAGTTGTGCTGCAGACTGACTTAACCAGCTTGGGTTTTTTACAAAAACTTTCTATCCGCCAGTTCAGACTTGTTGCTGCTTTGGTATTCTTACAGCCCAGTGTTACACCTACATTATGCAGAGCTGTTTGACTGTAAATTAGCCCTGTGATTTCAGTAGAATAAAGTCTGCCTACAGGTATAACACTCTCTGGGCAGTTTTGTGATCTGCAGTGCTGTGACTTGAATTCTTACAGGTTTTCTCGTGAAAGCAATCAGGGCAATTCCGCTTCTTTGCATTCACATTCAATCAATTCAACACATGGAAAGATCACTGCTGATGTAAAAACATGTTCCATAAACTTCCTCCACTGTCTGGCTAGGATTGAATTCACACTTTGATAAAGCATTAAAAAATGAGCTCTTCACAGCGTACAAGCAGCACGGGCTCCTGCAGTCAGCGTTACTCCGAACTTCCTCAATGTGATTTAATATCACAGAAGATCTGGTGCCCGTTGGAAGTCTTGAGCTTCCTCTCTTGCCACCAGTGCAAGTTTAACCTGTTAAGGGTCAAAAAGCAGAGCTGCAAGACAGGCAGAATGCAAAAACAGCCTAAGGTCTATTGCCTGTAAAAGGCTGTAAAACGGGGGGGTTGCGGTTCGTTCACCGTCTGACCCAAGGTCGCACAGAGCACGCTCGGCTCCCCAAGCGCCCCGGGCGGCGGCGACGCCGGCGCTGGGATTCGAACCCGCGCCGTGACACGGATGAGGGCGGCTGTTGGCACGTGCGCATGCGCGCCGGCGGCGGGGCGGGCGGGCGGCGGCGATGCCGCGGCTGCTGGAGAAGCTGCAGGCGGGAGGGCCAGAGGCCGCCCTCCGGCACCCGTGAGGGAGGCAGGGCCCGCGGGCGGCGCGGGGCTGCGGAGCGGGCCGCCGCTCCCCTCCCGCCAGGCCGCAGTGGCAGAGGGCAGTGCTCGGCAGGCCCGCGGCTCGGAAGGGAGCAGCAGCTCGGGCTGTGCCGTGCGGCCCGGGGGCTGTGCTTGTGCTCACGGCTGTTCAGTCCGCTTGTAAGTGCAGGGTGAATGTGAACCACCTTGTGATTTCCGGGGCCAGAGCTCGTGAACCGCCTTTAGGGGAAAAGGGAAGGCTCATACTCAAGGAGCACTGCTCGGGGTTTTTGAACGGTGCTGCCTGGGAGCGCTGAGGCAGCCCCCAGTGGAGGGAGGGTTGGTGACTGAAGTGCTTGATCAGACTCTTATGGGGTTCAGATTAACTGTGAGAGAATTATAAATTATGTGTCACATCCTTCTAGTTCCTTCATAAGGTAGTTGATGGCGTCTGTGGCCGTGCGTACCCTCGATACCAGGATTATGGCAATGTATGGAGCTTGTCAGAGTGGATGGAGGTTTTAGAAGAAACTATGACATATTTCAAAACTGCAGTTGGCAAAAATATGTCTGATGAAGAGGTAAGGGCTTGATGAGCTTAGAGGTAAGGACTGATTAACCTTAGTCATGATTAAGAGATCGTGACTGGAGTGATTGACATTGTAGTTTGTTTAGTCCTAAAATATTTTTCTAGTGTAGGATTTGAACGGTAGCAGATTCATCCTAAATAGGTAGAAGGGAAGCAGCATTTAGAGATGCACTGCCAAGACTTCTACAAGAAGTGAAATAGATGCTGATTTTTAAATATTTTTCTAATATCACAGGATACTTGTTAAAATACTGGTTTAATTACTTAAATTGGTATTTTGAGTATCCTCAGATTAAATCTGTTTATACAATACTGCTGATTAGCAATAAAACCAGTTCACTTTCTTGTTTGATTTTCTTTATTTGTTAGTACTGCATTGAAGTGGTGTAAAATAAATTTTGTGAAAAATCGAAGTGTGAATGAACTACCATATGGTACAGGGACTGTAATTCAGGATATTCTTATAGGTATGAACTTTGCAAAAATCATGTTCTATTATTAGAAATCTTAATTCTCGTCTCTTGCATACTGCTTGTTATGACCACCTGCTAGCAGCTGGGTCAAAGAAAGACACCTGTCTAGCCTTGGGGAGCCTCCCAGCATCAGTATTTCTGTTTCAGCTGAGCTGATGTATTTAGCCTCTGCCCTGATGCTGAGAAACTTACAGACCCACACCAGAGTTGTTTGGGGGTGTGATGTTCTTTTGATTTTAGGGTGGCATGTAAGAAGGCTGATAAAACCTTTATTCGCTGGTGTCTTTTAATTTAAATGATTTTTTTCTCTGTGTGTTGCTGTGGTAAACACTGACTCTTAACTACCAAACTCAGAGAGCAGCCACAAAGGGTAGCTATCAGCTTAGATATTTTATTTTGTTTTATTGCAGGTGGTACGTGTTACCTGTGTGGTTCATAGTGCAAGTAATCACGGGGTTTATTTTTGTTTTTGTAGGCTGCTCAGCAGATAATTGAGTTAAATTCAGATTACCAAGAAGCAATCACAAAATGTCTGAAGGGCAGAAAGGAAGAAATCAGGAATGCCCTAGTAGAAAATGTACATGCAATCTCTTCTGCCCAGCTGCAGGATTTTGACTGGCAGTTAAAGGTGAGAGTGTTGCCTTGATGTTGTTTGAAAGGAATGTTCTACAACAGAAGTAACTTGATACAGTCCCATTAAATAGTTTTCCATGTTTACAAGAGTGCTCAGTTTCTGCAGCAAACAGCTTTGGAAATCAAAGAGCAATGCCCAAAACAGACAAGTTTTTGCAAGAGCAAATCATAAGCAAAACCACATCATAATGTGCTTTAGATGAACTGTTACTGGGCTTGATCTCCTGCTAACTGCATTTACTGCTGACAACAATATGGACTTAAGTGAATTCTTATGTTTTGTTTGTGGCTTCTTGTAAATTTTTTGTCTAGAAAATTTTTTGAGTTTCGATTTTGGTTACAATTTCTGGTACGTGTCTGAGCTATTATTATTCTTAAAACCACTTTTTTCCCCCCTTGAGCTGGTTATAATTTTTTTTTCGCTTGCCATGATTGACCTCTACTGCATTCTGTTCTCTAAATAAAGTAGGTCTGTACGATATTAACCTATAGTACTGTCAACTGATCTTTGATTTCAGTGTATTTTAAAAGCCTTATCTATGCCAGAGTGAGTAATGTACTCAATAAAAAAGAAAGCACAATTGTAACCTGCATCAGTGTTTGTCTAATAAGATACCTGACAATGTGTGTGATCAGCTGCAGAGTGTTATAAAGGTCTCCTCTTTCTCCCAACAAACCCTTTCTGTAGGACCCTTCTTGTTGATTAGAAGACCTATTTGAATATGGTGATTTCGGAATCTAAGTAATTCATTAGGAGCCATTATCAAATGTATCCTTTGTTTTCACCTGGAATTCCAAAATGTGGATCCCAGAATTTTAACAGATTGTTTTTGGCAAGTGTATATGACAAGTCTGTGAAGAGGATGGTCTTTATTCAATATATTGTTGGTGCTAAAAACCAAAAATCCCAATAATGGAGGAAAAAACCCTGAAAGCAGCAGAGATTACTTATTTGAAGTTAATTTTGTCCTGCTGATGTTTGTTCTAGTATTACAAGTTCAATATAAAATACAGATGTGATATTATGAAAGACTAAAAATTTAATGTCTCCACCTTATACTTTATTGTTGTGTCAATCTGCATAGCTTGCTCTCTCCAGTGATAAGATCTCCATGCTGCAAATGCCACTCCTCAACCTTGATTTGGATGTGAGAGAAAATGGTGAAATTAAGCCAGTTTCTATAGAGATGAATAAGGAAGAGTTGCAGAACCTAATAAATGCACTGGAAGCTGCTAATAAGGTAACTTTTACTGATGTAGTATTTTGTGCCTACCTTTTTAGGTACTGATTTATTTTAAGCAGAATTCGTAGAATCATAGCATAGTTTGGGTTGAAAAGGATCTGTAAAGGTTGTCTAGTGTAAGTTCACTGCAATGAGCAGGGACATTTTTGACTAGATCAGGTTGCTCAGACCCCTCCAGCCTGACCCAGGGGTAGGGCATCTGTGTGCAGTGTTTCACCACACTCATTGTAAAAAATTTCTTCCTAATACCTAGACTAAATCTACTTTCTCTAATTTAATGTGATTACCTCTATCCTATGCTGAAAGATTGGTGAGAACTCCCATGTTTCCCTCAGCTTCACAAAATGTCAGTGTCTGGGAGAGTTACTTGGTTCATATTAAGTCCTCTAATTTCCATGGCACAGTGAATCAGGAAGAAAGTTACAAAGATTACAGTATTGTGGGCCAAGTAGAGAATTTCAAGTGGAACTATAAAACTTCTGAGACACTGAAGGGTCTCAGATTTCTTAAAAGAAAAGGCTAAGGAAAATGAGGATTTGAAGAAAACAGTATTTGCATGAAATTATAGCCCTTAAGAGCTTTCACAGCTTGCTTCTGTATGGATTTTGTTCCCTGCAAAACTAAATAAAAATAGTATGTGAGCAAGGATTCTTCCAGGACAGACTTCAGTGTTCACATGCCCTTTGTTCTGCTTGAGGGTCTGTATGGAAGCTGTGGCATGTGGTCATCTCCATACTCAGTTCTGTGGGCACATGAGGAGGAATTCACAGGTGGTCCCTTGGCTCTGCTTTGTGCAGAAGGAATCTCACTGCACCTGGACTTGCTGTTCTGCTTTTTGATTGCAGGCAGCTGAAGAATGGTTTGAGTGCAGTAAAGAAAGTTGTCTTAAGTGATGTTTTTGTGGGATTGTAAAAGAGTTGAGAGAGGAATGGTGCATTGTCCAGAGGAACGATGCTCATTCAGTTGCATATTATACTGAAATAGAAAACAAAAGGCTTCTTTTCATAGGCTGCTTAAGTTTTGTTCTTAACCAAATTTAATCTCATTCCTTTTCTCCTTTTTCAAGGTTGTCTTACAACTGAAATGATGGAATTCAGATCAACAGTATGCTGGTGATGGCTCCCTAAATAATTTGGGGAAAAAATGTGTTTACTGCAAAGTGGAAAGGTTTTGGTGCTGTAAAATACTGAAGTCAGAAGACTGTTATGACCAAATGAACTATTAATTCTTCAATAAAAATAATAAAATCTTGTATCTATTTGGCCAAAAATATTAAAATTAATGTACAGTTGCTTTAGTACTAAAGATTTATAGACATTTGGAAGAGAATCACTTATGTGCCATATTTGTTTTGGTAAAACTTTGGCAGTGACTACACAGCTGCCTGGTAAAACTAAGGCATCTTACTTGCATTGTATGTTACCTTATCTAAAATGCCACACTAATAAAGAATGAGAGAGTATTTGTAGCATTAATGTATTTATACTTGTAAATATGGTAAATAAACACCTGACTTTGTGTGTGAATAATGGTAGTAGGCTGTTTTTTGATTTATGAATCACTAAACTCCATCTTTTTAAATGCTGGGGAAAGTCACCTTTACAAACAAAACCAGTGCAGAACGACAGAACAGCTGAGGTTGGATGTGAGCTCTGGAGGTTATCTTTTATCTTGTCCAGCTTCATTGCTCAAACAGGGTAACCTAGAGCAGGCTGCACAGGCCTGTCTCCAGATGGCTTGAGTGTTTCCCTGTGGTTGAGCCACCACAATTTCTCTAGGCACCCTGTTCAGTGCTCAGAAGTTGTAGAAAAAGCACTGCAGAGTGTTTCTTAGTTGGTAGCTTTTCAATTAAAAATATTAATGTTTTCAAAAGGGGTTGCAGTGCTGGAGAGGAGCTGACCTATATAGACTATGAGAAAGATATTCCTAGCTCACTTAATACAGGAGATAATTGGTAAACTTTTCTGAAACCAGATGGAGTTTTGATTGTAGTATGTAAGAAAAGTTAAAAGCACTAACACTAGGGAAGGTTACACCAGAAATCTTATGGTTTCTACTATTTATTAGACCATTTTTCTATACATAAAAAGCAAATGCTCTGTAATGCTTACATGAACACTGATGTGTGATTCTCACTGTGTGCATGTGTGTCTTAGGCAAGTTTTGTGTAAATAATAAAATAATTGATGCCTTAACTTTATTCCTAGTTTCAAAATCAGGGTCTTGAGCTTATTCCAATGCATTGTGCCATAGGTTTTCATATATGCAAAGTTTAATACACTAATAGAAAATAATGGACTTCAGAGTACTGGTCATAAAAGAGGAGGACAAGAAGCTCTTGTAGAAAGGCTTCTATAAAAAGGATTTTAATGGGTTTAATAGGAAACTTAAATATGTTGTTTCTCTCTTATTTGGTGCTGATACATTTAATTAGATATACATGTTCAGTGTTAGCAATTGAAGAATGAAGAAATGTGGAGTAGTGGGTAAAGAGTTGTAAAGATGAAAGAGTGGAAGATGTATCTTAGTGAAAGGAGTGCAACCTCTAACAGATATGGCTTGATCATTGTCTTGAATATCCGTAAGCAACAAATTTCATAATTGATCAAATAACAGATAAAGACCTTGGTAAAATGGTAAAAAATAAATTCAAGCTCAAAATGAGGTTGGAATTGAAAATTGTTTAATTTTATTAAAAATCTGGAAAGAGTTACTGCAGGTTGTCCAGCAGCATGTCAGGAGGACGCTGTTATTTTAATTGTGAGTATAAGGAATAAATTTACCAAGTCTGTTTTATTTATAGGTATATTTGTGTTGACTATGCTTTTTCCTTTTCTGTAGATCTCACTTTATAGGAGAATATGGCCTTATGTGTTCAAATGCTCCATGTATTGTGTGATAGACATTTGGAAGAGAATCACTTATAATATGTGCCATGTCTGAAAGTATAACCCTTGCTTGTCTGATGGACATGCTGAATTGGTATTGCTGAAAGGCTTTTCTAGAGAAAAGGCTTTATTTTTTATTTATTTATTGTTACCATGCTGTTTTTTATCATTTAGGACAAAAGGACTGGAAACTACTTTTATTTATAGTTGCAGATTTAATAGCAGCAATTTATTTCATAAAAGTGTACTCTATTGTTTGGGATGGGATGTTGTTTGGATAGAAGAAACTTGTGTGCTGATGTATTCATACAATTTATAGATCTACTGTGAACACGTAAAAAAACGAAACATACCTAGAAAGTCTGTACTTCAATGAAAGGTGGATATTTAAAACTAATTTTTAGTGTGTTGCTGAAGTGAACTTTTGTGTTGCTACCTCTTAGTTTTCAAGATCACCGTTCAAAAATAGTGGCATTTTCTCAACAACAAAAGGCCACAAATAATAACTTCCATTTTTATTTACAACCAGTAAAACTTCTGTTGAAGAATCTGCTACAGATGCTAATTTCAATATTTGTGGCTTTTTCTTAATAGTAGACTGAAAGTATTTACATGGCTTCATTTTAAATTCTCTGGCAACTTATGTAATGGATTTTTAGTTAAGGCTTATGTGGTGGTGTTCAGTCTGTAGTATCATCCTATATTTGTTTGTCCTTTACTGCAGCACTGAACAGAAAAGGCTGAAAAAATCTTTTTTTAATGGTTTTTTGCTTTAACAAGAGAAGTTTCTCATACTGCTGTTGTTGACAGAAATAAATGTGCAATGAGATGCTTTTTCTTAATAGGTGTTAGACTTTATTGAAAAACTGAGTATTTTTAATATAACCATCAAAATTATGTTTTTCATAGGGGGCATAACAACACAGTGTGACTGGCTAGAGGGGGACAGGAGCTCCAGTTGACAAGCAATTGAGAAGCAGCAGCTAAAACACAGCATTGCATTTGAAACGTGCATCCTGACCTTACATCTCTACAGACAAATATAAGACACATAATGGCCTCCAGCAGATGGCATGGAAAAGGACCAGAAAGAATGGAGAACAGAGCTTGCTCTTTGTACTGTCTGTCGGATTTTTTGTCTTTGCTCAGAGAATTAGTTACTTCTGGAACAAGCAAGGTCTCCTGTTGTGACAGATAAGGCCTTTGTGGAGACTGTACCAGAGCAGATTAATGAAAAAAGCTAGAGCTTTCACAAGATCCATTGCACTGGTGCCATCTTCAGCTACACTTTGCTGAATGCAGGTAGACATGAGCAGGTAGTAAATGGGACAAACCTGTACAGGACAAAAGCATCTGGAACAAGCTTGTGGCCAGGAGCACGTCTTGAGGAGAGTGTGAGGAGCCCCACTGACAAGGAAACTTGTGCCTGTGACTAAGAATTAGGCCAAAGGTGTGAGAGTTTAAAGAGACTCCATTAGCATTAAAGAACTGAATTTTGTCCTTGCTTTTCTGTTCTATTTGCCAATATCTGTGTTTTCCTACATTCTTCCATGTGTGAGCTCATTCTAATTAACTGGCTGCAGCATGTGGAATAGCTCTGGAGTTTGCACATCCCACTACACTCACTGGCACACTCACTGGTAAGTGATGCTGCTCCTTTGGCCCAATTCTACACCATGGGTTCCTGTTCTCCCAGTCCTTACCTGGCAGAGCAGCTCACTTCTGGGGCCAGCAGTGGCATGGGCAAACCCCCCTCCAACAAACCACCATAAAGATGTTCAAGAAATCTCTCTGATTTTGCAGGTACTAAGGAGAAATCTCTTGAGCACGTAATTTACAACAGAAACAAAACTTTGCACAGGAGGCTTTTTGAACCAAAAGCTAACGAGAAATCAGTACCTACATATAATAGACACATATAATGTAGGAAGTTGTAATTTCACCACCTAAAAAGCACCTGCAGAAATGCACATTGCACATTAACACCTGCAATTTGAATCAGAAAATCAGCATATCTTGATACAAAATATAAAAAGTAAATTATAAAAATAATGTTACTTGCCCTCTGCTGGTGTTCATTGCTCTTTTCTTTGTTTCACAGAAATCTTCCCTTGATTTCAGAAAAAAACTTTTTTTTTTCATATCAGCCATGTCAGCTTTGATCTTGTTATGCTAAAGGAAACCAGAACTGCATATGAACAGCTAACCGCCAGTGTGGAATTGACTATTGTTTATAAAACTGCTTTTGCAACAAAGCAATTATATATGCCAAGAAGCTGTGTTTTTAAAAGATCTAAATAAGTCTGTAGAACATTTCTGAGTTCTGAAGCAAGCCTTTCTGATGGGAAACATGTTGAGACATAATTATGCTTTCTTCTGAAAGGTGGTTTTAAGAACCAGTAACACCCTATCCTGAAGTATGCACATTTTGCTATCATTTTGATTTGTGTATTAATATTTATAATGCAGTATCAGCAGTAAAGGGATTTTTACTCTTCTAGTACTAAAGAATGTTTTCATAAGTGCATCAAGATAGTCCATAATTTTTTTTTTTTTTTTTTTTTTGGGTTTCATAAGTGCATCAAATAGTCCATAATTGTTTTTTTTGGTTTTGTTTTTTTTTTTTTTTGCTTTAAATCAACCTCAATTACATTTGGTGGTATACTCTCTTTCCTCTGTAAAATTTTAGTTCATTCCTGCTTCAGGGCTTCTCCAGAAAGACCAAATAACTCCCACCAAAACCCAGAAAAGGAGGCAAATATCACAAGATTCATTCTTTGGACTTTTGCAGGCCTGTATGGAGAGTACTACATAGAGAAGGCTCTGGCTATTTTTAAGCACTGGGTTACTCAGCTAGTTTAGCTAATAGAGTAATGAAAGGCACTGGAAGGTGTGGGGATTTTCCTAACTAGGAACTGCTACAGGTCCACAGGGACTGCTTTGTTGATGGACTATCTGTGGGGAAGGATTCATAGCATCATATAGATTAAATAAATATTTTTTGATGGCTACAGTAATTTTTTTGGCAGGGGGGTGAAGGCAGAGGTTTCACATGTGCCATATTTCTATTGATATTGTTTAAAATGAGAGCCAGAACGACGTTGGATCATCTGATGAGAACTGCTATTAACTTCCTTTGTAAAACCCAATCCTAAATTCTTTACTGATCCCAGAATCTCAGTCAGCTCTTCCTTGAAATGATGATTTGCCTGATTTGTTACAGAAATGCTAGCTGTAGTGTACAACATTCAAAGATTCCTCTGAAAATCTAAAAAAAAAAATCAGGTAATATGTTGTCAGCTAGATCAAAACACCAAATGACATTTCAGAGATAGGAACAAGGAGACTGGTATGTTCACAGATGTGGATGAGATGGCTGATGTTCTCACTGAAAGGCATGATCTGCTAAAGGAAACCATCTTTCTTACATTTTTGGCTGTGTGATTGATTTTATACTTTTGCATAGGAATGTGCGGGTACAGAGAGCCAAGGATGAGTTAAAAGAAATTGGTCAGAGATGATCTCTAGCAATATGACATACTTCTGCTGCCATGTAATTATTTTAGTTCCTCATTAGTATTGATACTGAAATGCAATTGAAATTTGCAAAAAAACCCCAAAAACATGTAAAAGAGTGAGTACC